GGCTCAGGTCATGATCCTGGAGTTCCTGGATCGAGTCCCTGGATCGAGTCCCTGGATCGAGTCCCGCATCGGGCTCCCTGCTCGGTGGGGAGTCTGCTTCTCCCTCTGACCCTCCTCCCTCTCATGCTCTCTGTCTCTCATTCTCTCTCTCTCAAATAAATAAATAAAATCTTTAAAAAAAAAAAATCTAATTTTCCATCCTTACTACCACTAAAAACAAAGGTTGGCCTTATATTTTTTTAAGTGGTAACCTGAATAGTTAGTGGTAGAATCAGACTGGGAAGAACTTGAATATTTTCAGAGAAAATGTACTTTTAAACCAATATACTAAACCACAAGAACCCAAGTTCTTTCCTTTGCGTTGTGTATAACGATTTGTGCTCTGAGTTGAAGTGAAACAGACTGTCTTTGTAGTATCAAGCTATAAAAATGTTTTATTTTCTTTTTCATAATCATAGTACAAATAGTTTTTTGGGGAGCAAAACAAAATTCATCTATATGATCCATGAACTTTGGCTTTTTCTTGAGGATGCTTACAGTGAACCTTTTTTCCTTCCACAGTCTCTGTTATCTTGAAGAGAGAGAAGTAAGGAAAGTCAGATTAGTGATTATCACAGCTCTGGAAATTTGGCTTAACTTTAATAATAACTATTGATTGAGAGTTTATTATATCCCAGATGCCACTAGGCACTTACCTACTTCCCTCACAAAGCCATTTAAAGTAGTATTAAATCTCACTTCCCAGAAAAATATGGAAAATACTTTGTGATAATCTTCTGTGCATCTTTTGTGAATATTATGTGATCATCTCTGCTGGGAGCTAGCTCTCCCTTTCAACTTATGGATTTCTAAAGAAATTTAGTCAGAACTAATGGGGAGAATAGAGATAACTAGGACAAATGAGAGATTCTAGAAATTTGAAAATAACAGAAATACTAACCAATAAAAACAAAAGCAGGTTCACCACAGAGACATAAATGATAGTACTAAAAGGAACTCATAGGAATTCAAGTATACTAAAACTTAGTATGTTTTATTAACTTTGTCCAATAATTTTTTGTAGATTTAGGTATAATTGGAATGTATTTAATCAAAGAAATTAAACAAGGCAATTTAATTTCCCAAAGAATAAATATAAGCTAGAATCCTTTGAATATTAATGGAACCTAGCAAGCATTCTAACATGAAAATCAAAACACAAGTCCCAAAAGCTTTAATCATTTTAACTATCAAATATCTTAGGAAAGTAAGATTTATAAAATCAAAGATAGTTTAGCTCATATATCTTTACATATTTAATGTTGAAATGAGGAAAAACTACAAGTATTTAAAAATTACTAACTTCAGAAAAGTGGTTTTTGTCACAATCTTTTTTTTTTTTTTTAAAGATTTTATTTATGTATTTGACAGAGTGAGACAGCAAGAGAAAGAACACAAGCAGGGGGAGTGGGAGAGGGAGAAGCAGGCTTCCCGCGGAGCAGGGAGCCCGATGCGGGACTCGATCCCAGGACCCTGGGATCATGACCTGAGCCGAAGGCAGACGCCCAACGACTGAACCACCCAGGCGCCCCTGTCACAATCTTTTAACATAACTGTGTAACCTTGCTATGTGAATAAAAGAATGAAAAAATGATATAAACTGAGTTCAGTCATCCAACAAATTATTTATTGAGCACCTACTTTGTGCCAAGTACTGTTTGAGGCTTTTGGGATACATCAGTTAAAACAAACAAAAAGCAAAGTTCCCTGCCCTCTTGGAGCTTCCATATTCACCGGAGAGATAGACAGTAAGCATAATAAGCAAACCTATATTTCCAATATTTCCTATATTGCTATGTTAGGAAATTAAGGGCTATGAAAAACATGGGGGCATTGGGAAGAGGGGGCTGTTAATCAGGCTGAAATTTAAATAAGGAGGTCAGGGTGAATCCTCATTGAGAAAGTAACATTTAAGCAAAGACTTGAAGGGAGTTTAGTCAAGAGAATAGCTAGCCGAAGAACCCTAAAGGAGAGAGTTCAAGGTTAGAACGTGCTTACCAGATTTGAGGAACAGCAAAGAGACAAGTGTGCCTGGAGAGTAGTGAGCAAGGGGGAGAGTATTAGGTAAGAGGGTAGACAGGTAACAGGTAATTGGAATCCAGATTCTGTTGGAACTTTGGCTTTTATTCTGGAGTAAGACTGGGGTGCTGTTGTAGTTTTCAGCAGAAGAGTGATGTGACCTCATTTGTGATTTAGAAGAATCAGGTTGGGCTATTGTGTTGATAATTGACTACATGGAGGGCAGAAACAGACCATTTAAGAGTTTGTTGCATTAATCCATGCAAGAGATAATGGTGGTTCAGACTAGAGTGAAAGCAATGACAATACACAATAGGTTAAATTCAGGGTACATTTTGAAAGCAGAGTCCATAGGATTTGCTGGCCATTTGGATGTGGGGTGTATGAGAAAGAGGGAGCTCAAGAATGACGACAAGGTTATTTACATGAGCAACTGGAAGGGAATGGAGTTGCCATCAACTGAGATGAGGCTCAAGGCTGCATCCAAGTGGAACTGGTTTGAGGGATGGAGGTAGATGACAAGATCAGTTTTGGATATGTTAAATTTAGGATGCCAGATGGGCATTTGGACTGTAGCTATAAACTTGGAAGTCATTAGTATGTAGAGAATAGTAAACTTATCCTCATGAAACTAGACATAAATGGTCTGGTAATTGGGCATCAACAAGACAGAAGGTAGCTGAAAACTAACTTTACCTACCACAGCTTTGCCTGGTACCAGCATTGCTGGTAATAACCCAGTTCTTCTGACCCAATTAGGGGCCAAAAGCAATTCTTCTCAGAGTTTTTGGGCTAACTAAAATATTCTTTATGCAGTAGTAGGTATTCAATAAATGTTTCTTTTCCTTTCATACATTTCATCACTTAAAGGACAAGGCAGCTTAGGGCGCCTAGGTGGCACAGTCGGTTGAGCATCTGACTCTTGATTTCAACTTAGGTCATGATCTCAGGGTCTCAGAGCCCTGAGATGGACTCTGGTGCTGAGCGCAGAGTCAGCCTGAGATTATCTCTCCCTCTCCCTTGGCCCCTCCCGCTCGTGTTCTCTCTCAAGTAAATAACTCTTTTAAAAAAATAAAGGACAAGGCAACTTAAATGTAGTATGTCTGCATTCAGCATCTTCACTCTTCAGTGGTGTTGGTTTGGGGAAAATATGAATGAATTACATTCACCAGTTTTATTAGAAAATGGTAAGTAATTGGGCTACTAAAGCATAACACAAAATATAGGATGATATTAGGCTGAATGTGATAGTTGAAGAGAAAAGTCATATGATAAAAAGAGAAAACTAGCTTATATTCTCTTGGGCACTGGGAAACTATAGCACCACGTGGTCCTATATTTTGGGCACGTTAGAATAACCTGAGCATTCCTTAAAAAATACTGATAACTGGTTCCTACTCCCAGTCCTTCTGATTTATTTGTCTCATAAGTAGAATCAAACAACAACAACCTGAACTCATAGATGCAGAGAACAGATTGCTAGAGGTGGGGTTGGGGTAGTTGAAGTGGGTAAAGGTGGTCAAAAGGTACAAACTTCCAGCTATAAAATAAATAACTCATGGGGGTATAATTATAGGATGGTGACTATAGTTAATGCTGTATCATATATTTGGAAGTTGCTAAGATTAGATCTTAAAAGTTCTCATCACAAGAAAAGAAATTGTATAACTATGTGTGGTGATGGATGTCAACCAAAAAAAAAAAAAAAGAAAGAAAAAGAAAAGTTCCTTAAGGCAGCATAGAATAAATAGAAAAAACGAGCCCTCCCTAAATCATGCAAATAAGAAATCCCTGGCATAATTTGTTGTTAGATGCATGGCAGCTGTTCACCTGGTCGTTTCTTTATAGCATAAGTGAACTCAAATTGGAAGCAGCTGTGATGTTATGGCGGATGTATTAGCTTGGAGTAAGAAGACTTGGATTCACACCAGTTCTTTGGCTCTTTGGCTGACTTCGGATTGCCAATTCCCTTAACCTTCCTGAAACTCCAATTTCTATCTCCCTAGCATGAGAATAACCAAATCTGTCTTGCATGGTTACTAGAAATATTTTTAAAAGCTAATATATGTGAAAGTAAACGATAAAGAACTATTTAAAGATATTAAAGAATTATTATTTAAAATGATTTTTCTTAACTTTAGAAGTGATATAACATAAAATGTAACAATTTCCTAGAAGTGAATAGATTATTATTTTCTCTATATTTTTTCCACTGCTTTAAAAAATGGAACTCTGAGGCGCCTGGGTGGCTCAGTTGTTAAGTGTCCAGCTTCGGCTCAGGTCATGGTCCCAGGGTCCTGGGATCGAGCCCCGCATCGGGCTCCCTGCTCTGCGGGAAGCCTGCTTCTCCCTCTCCCACTCCCTCTTCTTGTGTTCCCTCTCTCGCTGTGTCTCTCTCTGTCAAATAAATAAATAAAATCTTAAAAAAAAAAAAAAAGGAACTCTGTATACAGTAAGTAATGAATGCTGTTGAACTTATCATGTTTAGTAGAGGAAGTGTTATTTTGTATTTATTTCCTATACAGTGTGTTAATATGTGAAAGAAATGAACTTTGGACTCAGGCCTGGGTTCCAACACAGATATTGTTGCTTATTAGCAAATTTGTGTCAGTAGACATGTTCTAAGACTCAGCTTTCTTTTCTCTTTATATTGGGGATAATAACGTTTACCTTTCAGGGCAGGGTTACCGTATGAGGCTCAAGTGTCAAGTGCCAAACATAGTAGCTGGCACAAAACTTGCAGGAAATGTTAATTCCTTTCTTCCCTCTGAAAGTACAATAATCTAGGGATAGTAATTTAAAAATCTGAGTAATAATAATTTCTCAATGACTAAAAATTCTTAAATGTTTTACTTGTTTGGCTGATTCTAAATCATTTTAAGTGCCCACCTCCTCACCATGAATGCTTTAAAAAGCACTGTTTATTTTTTGTGTTTTTTCAGGTAATAAAAAAAGCTTTAAGTTTACACCATGGATAGCACCAAGGAGAAGAATGGCAATCACAAAGATGATCTTCTGCTTAGGGTGGGACTTAATGATAATAAAGCCGGAATGGAAGGATTAGATAAAGAGAAGATTAACAAAATTATAATGGAAGCCACAAAAGTATGTTTCTTGTTAATTTTGCTATCACTAATTTAGTAGCTTTTTAACTTTCTGTTTAAAATAAAATCAGTAGGGGCGCCTGGGTGGCTCAGTTGGTTAAGCGATTGCCTTTGGCTCAGGTCATGATCCCGGAGTCCTGGGATCGAGTCCCGCATCGGGCTCCTGGCTCGGCGGGGAGCCTGCTTTTCCCCTCTGACCCTATCCCCTCTCATGCTGTTTCTCTCTCTCTCTCTCTCTCTCAAATGAATAAATAAATAAAATCTTAAAAAAATAAAATAAAATTAGTAAGTTTTAAATACCTTTTTTATTGTAGTCTTTAATATTTTAATGTATCTTATTAAAACAAATGGGTATGGAATAATCTCCCTTCTGTTCTGTTACTCTTGCTCTGGCCATCCAGTTTTCTGCCTCACATACACATAATGTGCATGTAAAAGCAAAATAACATACATGTTCATTTCTCACCCTTGTTCTTAATAGAATACTGTAATTGTTGTGTTTTTTGTTTTTGTTTCAATTAATGTAACTTGGAGGTCTTTCTTTATAAGTAAAGATCTTCATTTTTATGCCTGCAGTGTGAATATAACAAAATTTTTTAAACCAGTCAGAATGTTTATTTATGAACATATACGTCATTTCTAGTCTTTTGTTTTTAGCAACAATACTACAGAGAATAGCCTTGTATTTTATAACATTACACGTGTAAGAGAGAGTCTAGAAGTGGAATTATCCTACCACATACAGAGAGCAAAAAAGGATATATGCATGTGCAATTTTTATGATTTGGCCAGTTGCCCTCCACAGTGGATGTATCAATTTAAATTTCCACTGCCGGTACACGAGAGCATGTTACCCTGGCGCAACTGTGCCAGTACAGTGTGTAACTAAGCTTTTGGATTTGTCAGTCCACAGTAATGTAGTGTAGCATTAATTTGCGTTTCTCTTATGAAAAGTGAGATAGTGCATCTTTTCATAGGTTTAAAAAGCCGCTTGTATTTTCCTTTTTTTGCAAACTGTCTCTTCTCGTCCTTCGCACAATTTTCCATTAAAATTATTGTATATCTTTTGACTTTGCTTATGGTACTTTGTCCTGTGCAGAAGTTTTTTTTGTTTGCTTTTTTATATGTACTTGAATTAGTCAACTATATATGCTTTTCTCCAAAGTCCTAAATGTTTTCTTCTAACATTTTTTGTTTCATTTGTATATTATGAAATATCCATGTAGAAAGGTGTAAAATTTAAGAAAATATCCTTATTCTTAAGAAATGCATGCTGATATCCACAGCAACTCACTTTTATTTATTTATTTATTTTTAAGATTTTATTTATTTATTTGAGACAGAGAGAATGAGAGACAGAGAGCATGAGAGGGGGGAGGGCCAGAGGGAGAAGCAGACTCCCCGCCGAGCAGGGAGCCCGATGCAGGACTCGATCCTGGGACTCCAGGATCATGACCTGAGCCAAAGGCAGTCGCTTAACCAACTGAGCCACCCACGCGCCCCAGCAACTCACTTTTAAATGGTTTAGCCAAAAAGAGGAAGAGGAGCATTTGTGTGTGTTCGTGTGTGTGTGTGTATGCATGTTTGTGCAAGTGCACATATAGGAGTTGGAGTGTGTGTATGTGCATATACATGAGAGTTGTGGGAGAAACTAAACGTAACAGGAATCTAGGGGAGGACATATGGATGTTTACTGTACTATTCTTCCAACTGTTAGAAAATTTGGAAATTCCAAAATAAAAAGTTGAGCAAAAAATAATATTTTAAGTGTTTAACATGGAGATACCATTTTAAAAGGAAAAGAATTGAGATGAAGTAAGCAAACAAAATATATGGACCCTGATTGGATCTTGGTTTGAACAAATATTTTTGGAACATTTAAGGGAATTTGAATATGGAGAGTGTACTAGATAGTATGAAAGAATTATTGTTAATTGTATTAGCTGTGAAAATGCTATTATGATTATGTAGGAAAATGGCCTTATTTTTATTTTTATTTTTATATTTTTTTAAGATTTTATTTATTTATTTGACAGAGAGAGACACAGTGAGAGAGGGAACTCAAGCAGGGGGAGTGGGAGAGGGAGAAGCAGGCTTCCCACCAAGCAGGGAGCCCGATGCGGGGCTTGATCCCAGGACCCTGGGATCATGACCTGAGCTGAAGGCAGACGCTTAACGACTGAGCACCCAGGCGCCCCCTTATTTTTATTTTTTTAAATTAAAAAAAATTGGGGGGGAGAGAAAGAGCAAGTGCAAACAGTGGGGAGGGGCAGGGGCAGAAAGAAGGGAAAGAGAGAGAATCTCTAAGCTGGCTCCACACCTGGCTTGGAGCCCCACGTGGGGCTCGATCTCAGGACCCTGAGATTATGACCTGGGCTGTAATCAAGAGATGGATGCTTAAGCAACAGCCACCCAGGTGCCCCACAATGACCTTATTTTTAAAGATGCATAATAAAATACTGTATGGAATAGTTAAATGTCATTATATCTGTAATTTACTTTAAAACAGTTCAGTTAAAAAAAAATCAATGAAATGGGCACCTGGGTGGCTCAGTTGGTTAAGCGTCTGCCTTCGGCTCAGGTCATGATCCCAGGACTCTGGGATTGAGCCCCACGTCCGGCTCCCTACTCCACGGGGAGCCTGCTTCTCCCTCTCCCTTTGCCTCTCCCCCTGCGGGTGCTCTCTCTCACTATCTCTGTCACTGTCTCTCTCTATCAAATAAATAAATAAAATCTTTAAAAATTTTTTTTAAAAATCAGTGAAGGAAATAAGGCAAAATGTTTGTTGTTAAATCTCAGTGATAGTTTTATATATTTGTTTATTGTACTGCTCTGTTTCTCTGTTTGAGACTTTTGTGAAATTTTGACCATAAAACTTAAAAATAGGAATAAAACCTATGCCCCTAGTTTTCAGGTTAAGAAATAGAATATTTAAGCCATCCTAGATTTCCCTATCTTTCCTCTCTCTTCTCTGTGTCCCAGTAACACTTATTAAATAGTTCATCCTTTTCTTACTGATCTGCAGTGCTTTCTTCTATTCCACTGGATTATTTGTTATTATATCTTTATGGCATGATCTTAATTATAGTACTTTATAATAAGTCTTGATAACAGCTAGGACAAGTTATTTTTTTGCACTTTGTTCTTTTTCAAGAGTATCTAAGATATGCTCAAAACTTTGCTCTACCATATAAACCACTGAACAATGTGGGGATTAGGATCACTGAACCCCACCCCCCACATACACACACAGTTGAAAACCCATGTACAACTTTTGAATCCTCCAAAATTAACTGCTAATAGCCTACTGTTGACTGGAAGCTTTACCAGTAACATAAATAGTTGGTTAACACAAAATTTGTATATTATGTGTATTATATATTACAATAAAGTAAGCTAGAAAAAAGAAAATATTATTAAGAAATCTTAAGGGAGAGAAAATACATTTATAGTACTGTACTATATTTATTGAAAAAACTCCATGTATAAGTGGACCTGTGCAGTTCAAACCCATGATATTCAAGGTTCAACTGTATAGATATATCAATCATAGAACGATATATACATATCATCTGATTGACATGTATGAATCATGTAATATATGTATACATATATGATTTATATTTTATATGCCTTACATATATTTATATATTAATATATTAAAATATTTATATATTTTATATATTATTTCTCTAGTGTGGGGGGATGGGAAGTTCATCATAAATATCTTTTTTAAATTGAAATTTTCTAATTGTTACGGCTTCACAGCAGTGCAGTTTACTTCTTTAAAAGTTTTATCAGAAAATTTAAATATACACAAAATTAGAATACTAAAGTGAATTCCTGGGTAATCCTCACCCACCATCAATAGTTACCAACATTTTTGTAAATATTGTTTCATCTATGTTACCCTTCCTACTGAATTTTGGAGATAGAGATTGGAGTATTTTAAAACAAATCCCAATAACTTGGACAAATTTCAAGAAATTTACAATTTTTTCCAAAACTGACTCAAGAAAATATAGAAAATCTAAATAGATCTTTAACAAGGAAATAATTTAGTAATTAAAAATCTTCCCTGTACCCGTCCCCCCCCCCCAGCAAAAAAAAACAGGTCACAATGGCTTCAGTGGTGAATTTTTTTTTTTTTAAGATTTTTTATTTATTTGTCAGAGAGAGAGAGGGAGAGAGCACAAGCAAGGGGAGAGCAGGCAGAGGGAGAAGCAGGATCCCTGCTGAGCAGGGAGCCCAATGCAGGGCTTGATCCTAGGACCCTGGGATCACGACCTGAGCCGAAGGCAGACACTTAACTGACTGAGCCACCCAGGCATCTCTTCAGTGGTGAATTTTATCTGACATTTAAAAAGAAATAATACCAGTATGCCACAAGCCCTTCCAGACAATAAAGAAGGATGTAACCCTTACAAACTCATTCTATGAGATCAGTATCACCTTGACATCGTTGCCAGACAAGCAGAAGATTATAGATCATTGTGAATATAAAAGTCCTCAACAAAACATTAGCAAACTGAATCCAACAATATAAAAGAAAGGTTATATACCATGACCAAGTGGGATTTATTCCAGGAATGCACTTTTCTCCTAAAATCAGGGACAAGGCAAGGATCCCTTCTCTCATGTCTTCTATGCAACATAGTCCTAAAGTTCTAGTGTAGTCAGGCAATGAAAAGAAATAAAAGGCATTTGGATTGGAAAGGAAAAACTAAAACTATCTCTTCACAAATAACATGATGTTACATATAGAAACTCTTAAGGAATTTCAAAAGGAATGCCACAGTTTTACCATGAAAATTACAAAAATTCATTGAGGGCAGGTAAAGATTTAAAAAATGGAGAGACAGGGCATCTGGGTGGCTCAGTCAGTGAAGCGTCTGCCTTTGGCTCAGGTCATGATCTCAGGGTCCTGGGATCGAGCCCTGCATCGGGCTCCCTGCTCTGCGGGAAGTCTGCTTCTCCCTCTCCCACTCCCCCTGCTTATGTTCCCTCTCTCGCTGTATCTCTCTCTGTGTCAAATAAATAAAAATCTTTAAAATAAAATAAATGGAAAGACATGTTCAAGAATGAGAAGACTTAATATTGTTAAAAGGATAGTTCTCCCCGAATTGATCTGCAGATTCAATGTAATTCCCCATCCAAATTACAGAGGCTTTTTTTTTTCTTCTGCAGAAATTGATTAACAGACCCTAAAATTTATGTGGAAATGCAAAAACATCTAAAATAACCAAAACCAGAGTTTTCATAACCAAAACTGAGCCCGGGTGGCTCAGTTGGTTAGGTGTCTGCCTTCGGCTGGGGTCATGGTCCTGGGGTCCTGGGATCAAGCCCCACGTCAGGCTCCCTGCTCAGTGGGGAGCCTGCTTCTCCCTCTCCCTCAGCTGCTCTCCCTACTTATGCTCTCTCCCTTCCTCTCTTTCTCTCTCATGTAAATAAGTAAAATCTTTAAAAATAAAATAAAATAAAATAGCCAAAATAGTTTTGAAAAGGAGAAACATGGAGGTCTTTGACTTTCCTGTTTTAGAACTTACTATAAAGCTATAGTTCTCAAGACAGTGTGGTACTGTCATAAGGTTAGACATATTGAACAATGGAGCAGAATTAAGAGTCCAGAAGTAAATCTTTGTATTGATACTTTATTGATTTTTGATAAAAGTACCAAGGCAGAAGGATAGTCTGTTCAGCAAATAATCCTGGGACAACTGGATATCCACATGCTAAAAAGATGAACTGAGACCCTCAATTCATACCATACACAAGTTGAACTCAAAATTGAGTGAAATGTAAGAGCTAATGCAGTAAAAACTTCTAGAAGATAGGAGAAAATCTTTGAGACATTTGGTTAGACAAGCATTTATTAGGTACGACACCAGAAGCGCAATCAATAAAAGAAAAAGTCGACAAGTCAGACCTCATCAGATTTCAAAACTTTTGCACTTCAAAGACACAATCAAAAAAGAAAATGATAAGCAACATACTAGTATAAAATATTTGCAAAATATTTATCTGATAAAGGATTTACATCCAGAATATACAGAGAATTCTTACAAATTATTAATAAGACAACCTAATAAAAAATGGGCGAAAGATATAAATAGACATTTCACTAAAGGTATAAGAATAGCTCATAAGCACATGAGAAGATGTTCAACATCATTAGTCATCAGGGAATTGCAAATTAAAACCACAATGAGGTACCATTCACAGTATTATAGCCTAGAATGGCTATGAGATAGACAATAACAAATATTGATAGGATATGGAAAAATTGGAACCTCATACATTGCTGGTGGGATTATAAAGTGGTTCAACCACTTTGGAAAACAGTCTGGCAGTTCCTCAAAAGGTTTAACATGGAGTTAGCATATGACACAGAGATTCCACTCCTGGGTACCTCAGGAAAGTGAAAACATATGTCCATGCAAACATGTATATACAACTGTTCATTGCAGCATTTTTCATAAAAGCCATAAAGTAAATATAATCTAAATTTCCATCAACCTGATGAGTGGATAGATGTAGATGTTATGTTTAGTGATGGGATGATAGGTAATTTTCTAAAAGTGATTTTCTACATTTTCTTTAATGGCTAACATTAAAATTTTTTAAATACTTTATTTTTTAATTTTTTATTATTTTTTTAGAAAAGGTGGGGTGGGGGAGAGAGTCTTAAGCAGGCTCAATGCCCAGCATGGAACCCGACACAGGGCTCAATTTCACAACCCTGATATCATGACCTGAGCCAAAATCAAGAGTCAGATGCTTAACTGACTAAGCCACCCAGGCGCCCCTTAAGTGCTTTTTAAGTAAAAGTGAAGAAGATAACCGATGACCCAAATGACTAAGGCCTCGGATATGCCCCGTGGATCCTGTCTAGGACACATTGTTATTATCTAAGTAACATATCTGTACTCATCTCAAAGAGTTTGTACTGTGTAAATACTGCCTCAAAAATTCTAGGTAACTATAAATTCATTTTACAGGCGAGGAAATTGAGACATAGAAAAATTAAGTAGTTTTAGGGTTCCCAGCTAGTAAGTAGTGGAGCTAAGTTTTTTTTTTTAAAGATTTTATTTATTTATTTGAGAGAGAGAGAATGAGAGACAGAGAGCACGAGAGGGAAGAGGGCAGAGGGAGAAGCAGACCCCCCGCCGAGCAGGGAGCCCGAAGTGGGACTCGATCCCGGGACTCCAGGATCATGACCTGAGCTGAAGGCAGTCGCTTAACCAACTGAGCCACCCAGGCGCCCCTGGAGCTAAGTTTTGAATTCAGTTATTCTGTTTCTAGTCTATACCATTAGCCACCATGGTTATACTACTGATGCTTTCCTTCTGACACTTTTCTTGTGCTTTGTTTGTTTTCTTACATAGGGATCCAGATTTTATGGAAATGAGCTCAAGAAAGAAAAGCAAGTCAACCAACGAATTGAAAATATGATGCAACAAAAAGCTCAAATTACCAGCCAACAGCTAAGGAAAGCACAATTACAGGTATTAATTTAATTGTTAAATAAAGTGGAAGCTGGTAGAATAGTAATTGATAGTTAAAATGCATCATGGTCAAGTCATAACTGAAAACAAGGTAATATGTAAATGTTCATTATATTGTAAGGAATAAAATTTGACAGAGGTGCATACTTTATTAAATATTACTCTATTCTTTTACATCAAGACCCCATACCTAGGCATTGTCACCTCCATTATACAGAAGAATAAATGGAGCCCTAGTTAGGGTAAATAACTTGCCTAGCTTCAGAGCTAGGATTTAATACAAAGCTTATGTTCTTTTTATTATATACATATTTTGTAACTAGAAAAAGGCCACAAGATAAATGTTTTCTTCAATGCCGATTTTACAAAAATGATTTGGGGGAACATGGTAAGTAATTAAATTAGAACTTTAACACATAATTGTGTTGTACTAAAACTAGGGTAGAATGCCAAATGTGCATGAATTTTTAAGATAAAACACCAGACTGGAGGCTTTTGGCTTCTCCACCATCTTTGGGGAATAAATACTCAAGAGTTTGCTCCAGTATTTAAAACTATTTCAGGAGGAAGGTTTGAGTAGAGCAAAGCTGCAGGGCATTGTGTTCTCATAGTTCTCATAGATCGAGAACTCAAAGTAGTCAAGATTCTGCTAGTAAAACTGAAGTTTACTTTTATTTTTTTAATTTTATTTTTTATAAAGTTTACTTTTATTTTTTTAATTTTATTTTTTATAAAGTTTACTTTTATTATTTTCTATTATATGTTGTTTATTTCCAATCATAATTAACAATAAACTCCTAATTATATGTATATTACTCTCACAATAGACTTCCTTTCTAATTGTATCTGTCACGTAATATTACATGGTATAAAGTTTACTAATTTTAAAGACAGTTTTTACCCTCTATCAAAATCTGATTCAATTTAACAAAGCACTTTAGGCCATTAATAATGATAAAATTATGTTAATCTTCTATGCTACAAAATTCTTCTCATGATAGAGTTCAGAAATGATAAATTTATTCTTTATCAAACTATACTGTGTCATTTTTTTCGTATATGCTTTCCTAGAGCACAAGCTAATTTTTTATCTTATGTGTTAAGTGGTCTGCTATCATGGCAAAAGATCATTTGCCTTTGTCTTTCAAACCATCATTTTTAGTGCTTCAGAGTGTTCTACTATATGGAGGTACCAGAATTTATTTACCTTATCCTACCAGGGTTTCAGTTTTTTGTTTTATATATAACCTTGTGATGATCATTCTTATCTATATATGTTTGCACTCTTGTCCTGTTATTTTCACCCAACATGGTACAGTTTTACATTTTCAACATAAGAGTGCTAGTTTCCTCACATACTTGTTTAAAACTAGATTTTATTAATTTTATCAGTCTTTTAGCTTTTGCTGGTAATGTCCAAATATTATTTCATGGTTATTTTAATTTGTCCTTCTTAGATAATAAGACGGAAAGAATATGTTCTCTCATATTAGCTGTTAATATTTCATTCCTATGGGCATTTCCTTCCTTTTTTATTCTATTAGTATATAGGCTAAGTAGCTGGCACAAGAGACCCCAAAATACAATGGTTCAAATCAGATAAGAGTTTCTTTCTTTCTCATATAATAGTAAGTAGTTCCAACTGATTGGGTGGTTCTGCTCACCATAGTAATTTAGGGACATCGGTTCTACATCGGGTTGTTCTATCATCCCCTAAGTGTTATCCTTACCTGGACTGACAAAATGGGATTATCTCTAGTCTGTATTTCAGCCCCCAGTAAGGAAGAAAGAATGAGGGGAAAAAAAATGAAAGGTGAGTAATTTGCTATTCAACAAGTAAAAGAGAAGTTGCTCATATTACGTCAGCTCACATTCTTTTGACAAGAATTTAAGTTTCATGGCCACACCTAACTGCAGGAGAAGCTGTACAGAATATTTTCCAGCTGGGTGGCCATATGCCCAGATAAAAATCTATTACTATGAAAGGAAGAGAGAATGGATTTGGGGGTTCAACTAGCAGTCCAAAACAGTATCCTCTGCCTACATTTCTAGAGGAGTTTATATGTTTTTCTCTTGATTAATACATCTTATCATAAGTTAAACATTTTTGTCCTCTGCCATTTGTTGTAAATATTTTCCCAATATGTTGTTTGTCTTTTAATCATGCAGGTTGTTTTTTTTTTCTATACAGTTTTAAATGTTTATGTAATCAAAAACAGCAGTATTGAAAAACATTTTTTTCTTGGCTTTTGTATTGAAAGCATAGAAAGTTATTCCTTACGACCAAGCCTATATGTTCTTTTAGTATTTTTATAGATTTTGTTTATCTTTAGTCCATTTGGAACTTGTTTTTGTTTTTGTTTTAGAGGGAGAGAGAGGGAGTGGGGAGGGGGGAAGGATAGAGGGGGAAAGAGAGAGAGAATCTTAAGCAGGCCCTGCCTAGCGCAGAGCCTGAGACATGGGGCTATATCTCATGCCCCTGAGATCATGACCTGAACTGAAATTAAGAGTCGGAGGCTTAACTGACGGAGCCACCCAGGCGCTCCTAGAATTTGTTTTAATGTAGAATGTTAAGTATTTTTTTCTTAAATGGTGAGTGTTACGTTTTCGCTAATAGTATTATTCTTTCTAAATGGTGATTCATTTGTCCCAACACCATTTATTGAATCATGAGTCCTTTCTCCACTGAACTGAATGAGGCACTTCCATATACTAAGTTCTCATTGTACTCATTGATTTGTTTCTGGATTCTCTCTCTTACTCAATTGAATCTTTTCCTGTATCAGTACCATGCACTTTTAGTTATTCAATGATAATAACACTTTAATATCCTCCCTTGCTACTATTCTTTAAAATTTTTTTCTCATTCGTTGTTTCTTTCAAATAAATTTGAGCATCCTTTCAACAAGTTAAAATTCCATTCTGTCCGTAATAACATTGTTTTTAAAATGATATTAATCCTTGGCAATTTATTTTCAGAACTTCTTTCTGGCAAGTTTTATTGATCTATACAAATATCTCTAATAAAATTTTAAAGATAAAATGCATATGAATCATGCAATAAAATAACTTTTTGCTGTTTGCTCTTTTTAAAGCTCATATCTTTAAATATGCTAATAATTTGAAGGATTAGAAAATACTTTATATTGTATAATAGAGCTTCACATTTTGTTACAGTTTTAGTTGACCATTTCTTGGGAGACTGACATCTTTTGCAAGGGAAGTGGCAGGAAATATGTTTTATGTTAATTGTTAAATTGTTTCATTTGTTGAACTTCCTTTAAAAGAAATTGTATAAATGGGAGGAGATTAAGGAAATCCTAAGGAATCTAAAAGATCTGAGAGAGAGGTTTTCATGGGAAATGCATTTCTATTCTAGAGTCATACAATTTCCAAGTAATAGATTTTATTATGTGTACTACGGTCATAGGAACTATTATTGCTAATCAAGCTGTGGTAACTAACCTCTGTTGGCATGAACTCCCACAGTTTGTTGGGGTTTTTTTATTCTTATGTTAATCCCCATACATTACATCATTAGTTTTAGATGTAGTGTTCCATGATTCATTGTTTGTGCATAACACCCTGTGCTCCATGCAGAATGCGCCCTCCTCAATACCTACCACCAGGCTAACCCATCCTCCCACCCCCCTCCCCTCTAGAACCCTCAGTTTGTTTTTCAGAGTCCATCGTCTCTCATGGTTCGTCTACCCCTCCGATTTCCCCCGCTTCATTCTTCCCCTCCTGCTACCTTCTTCTTCTTCTTCTTTTTTTTTTCTTAACATATATTGCATTATTTGTTTCAGAGGTACAGATCTGAGATTCAAGAGTCTTGCACAATTCACAGCACTTACCAGAGCACATACCCTCCCCAGTGTCTATCACCCAGTCACCCCATCCCTCCCACCCCACCCCCCACTCCAGCAACCCTCAATTTGTTTCCTGCGATTAAGAATTCCTCATATCAGTGAGATCATATGATACATGTCTTTCTCTGTTTGACTTATTTCGCTCAACATAATACCCTCCAGTTCCATCCACGTCGTTGCAAATGGCAAGCTCTCATTCCTTTTGATGGCTGCATAATATTCCATTATGTATATATACCACATCTTCTTTATCCATTCATCTGTCAATGGACATCTTGGCTCCTTCCACAGTTTGGCTATTGTGGACATTGCTGCTATAAACATCGGAACTCCCACAGTTTATTCAGAATCTAAGTGTTCTCCTCTCCGTCCTACCCTCATTAGACTTGTTAAAGATGCAATCATTTTTGTAGCTGCCTAAACATCTTGTTGTAACATGGATTCATAAATTGAATAGACAACCATTCATGTTGTATTAAATGGCAACTACACAGCAAATCAGTGCATTTTGGCTATTTTAACAATTGCTTTATGAACTTAGTTTTCCTGAACAATTTTTAGGGTAATTATAAGTTAAGAAAATGAAAAATAATATTTCTGAAATAGTCTCCTGAATGTCATCAAAAAAGGATTTTTTTAATGCAAATAAAACAATATTGATATAAAACACTATTGGAGCTTGGTTTGAAGTTGTTTCAATGTTAAAGACATTTTAAGATCCATTTTAGGGAAACATCATAAAATAATGGAAAGAGTACAGCCTTTGGAGTAACTTGGATTACAGGTCTACTGCTAACATTTTCCAGCTGTGTGACTTAGGGCAGATTACTGCATCTTACTGAGGTTTAGTTTTCTCCTCTCTAAAATGAGAATAATTATCATCTCAGAATTATTTTGACCATTAAATGAGTTAACATAAGAAGTACTTAGCATGTTATATAACACATATGATATACTCAATAAATGTCACTTTTATTTCTAAAATTATAGGTTATATCATTAAGCCCTTTCCATATCCCTGGATAAGTACATTACACAAGTACCTCTTTTAATTCTTTAAACCTTTGGGGGTTGGTTTAGTCCCAGTTTACAAATAACATAAGAATGAGGGTTAACTTGCCCATTATCATGTAACTAATAAGTGGTGGAGCTGAAACCCACAAGAAGCTCTTATTCTTTTTTTTCTTTTTTAATTTTGTTATGTTATGTTAGTCACCATACAATACATCATTAGTTCTTGATGTAGTGATCCACGATCCATTGTTTTCGTATAACACCCAGTGCTCCGTGCAGTACGTGCCCTCCTTAATACGCATCACCGGGCTAACCAATCCCCCCTCCCCCCTCCCCTCTAAAACCCTGTTTGTTTCTCAGGTCCATAGTCTCTCATGGTTCATCTCTCCCTCCAATTCCCCCCACCCATTTTTCCCTTCCTTCTCTTAATGTCCTCCATGTTATTCCTTATGTTCCACAAATAAGTGAAACCATATGATAATTGACTTTCTCTGCTTGACTTATTTCACTTAGCATAATCTCCTCCAGTCCCGTCCATGTTGATGTAAAACTGGGGTATTCATCTTTTCTGATGGCTGAGTAATATTCCACTGTATATATGGACCACATCTTCTTTATCCATTCATCTATTGAAGGGCATCTCAGCTCTTTCCACAGTTTGGCTATTGCGGACATTGCTGCTATGAACATTGGGGTGCCTATGGCCCTTCTTTTCACTACATCTGTGTCTTTGGGGTAAATACCCAGTAGTGCAATTGCTGGGTCACAGGGTAGCTCTATTTTTAAATTTTTGAGGAACCTCCACACTGTTTTCCAAAGTGGCTGCACCAGCTTGCATTCCCACCAACAGCGTAAGAGGGATCTCCTTTCTCCACAACCTCTCCAACATTTGTTGTTTCTTTCCCTGTCCATTTTTGCCATTCTAACTGGTGTAAGGTGGTATCTCAGTGTGGTTTTGATTTGGATTTCCCTGATGGCTAATAATGATGAACACTTTTTCATGTGTCTGTTAGCCGTTTGTATGTAAGAAGCTCTTATTCTTAACCATGGTTCTTAACGGTGGCAAAAGGGATAACATACATACATGTTAGAGGCTCAGATCAGAACTTGGGAGTCATTTGGAAGTAAAAATGGAAGAAAGGAAAACTTGAATGAAGATTTCAGTAGAAGAAATTTGAAAAGAGCAGGGTGGTGTGCATTTGGTAGATGCAGAGAAAAAAATGTTTAGAGAGGGTGACTAATGAGAGTAGAGGAAAATGGAATGTGTGAGTCACTCAGTGGGGAGGTTTCCTTTTGGCAACTGCACTTGTGCTTTGGGCACAGAAAAGATAATAGATTGCTGAAGAAACTGTCATAGAATTATTGTATGAGGCTAAGGAGAACTTTTTTCCATTTGGTTTGCTTTATATTTATTATCTTTTTCCATTCCAGTATTTCTGGGTTAAGATACTTCAAATGCTCCCTAATTCTCAGTCGACTCGTATCTTAGGTATATTTTCTGGATTAACATATAGTAGTTTTTAATCCACCCTTATTTTCATTAGTCTCCATGATTTGTTTACATCTTTTTTTTCTTTTTAACGTCAGGATGCTCTTCTCTAATTTACAGTTGAGGTACTGGAAGAAGTAGTTGATTTAAATCTGGATGATAGATTGGAGTAATGTTGAAAAGTTCCATTTATTAGGTGTGGTGTCTCACTGCATGAGATCAGCCTTCTCCAAAATTTTTCTACACATACTACCTTCTCTTTTTTAAGCAGAAATATATATATATATATATATATATATATATATATATATATATATATGCTACGAGGCTCACCTCTTTCTGTCTGATAGGAAAGCATTTGAAGGCAAATAAGGTCCTTTTCCTGGTGGAACTCATAATTTGGTATCTAATACAGTAAGTGCATAGTAACAGCAGGAAAACAACTAAGGGAACACTGAATTCTGTGGCATGAAGGACAGAGATCTAATTAAGCTACAGAGAGATATCTGAGCTGACCCTTCAAGGCTTTATGACAGAACTCGGAAGGGCATTCTAAACAGAGGAACAGCCTGAAGAAGGCACAGCGCACCCCAGGTCGTTCAATGAGTTGCAGCCAAACAGGAGCAGACCCTATAGAGGCTCACTGTGGCTACTGGAGACAACTAGGATTCAGGGTGATTATTTCTTTTTCTTTTTTTTTTTTTAATTTTATTATGTTATGTTAATCACCATACATTACATCATTAGTTTTTGATGTAGTGTTCCATGATTCATTGTTCGCGTATAACACCCAGTGCTCCATTCAATATGTGCCCTCTTTAATACCCATCACCAGGCTAACCCATCTCCCCCCCCCCCCCGAACCCTCAGTTTGTTTCTCAGAGTCCATCGTCTCTCATGGTTCCTCTCCCCCTCCGATTTCCCCCCTTCATTTTTCCCTTCATACTTTCTTCTTTTTTCTTTTTTAACATATAATGTATTATTTGTTTCAGAGGTACAGGTCTGTGATTCATCAGTCTTACATAATTCACAATGCTCACCATAGCACATACCCTCCCCAATGTCTATCACCCAGGCACCCCATCCCTCCCACCCCCCACCACTCCAGCAACCCTCAGTTAGTTTCTTGAGATTAAGAATTCCTTATATCAGTGAGATCATATGATACATGTCTTTCTCTGATTGAGTTATTTTGCTTAGCATAATACCCTCTAGTTCCATCCACGTCGTTGCAAATGGCAAGATTCTGTTGTGGTTTTTTTGATGGCTGCATGATATTCCATTGTATATATATACCACCTCTTCTTTATCCATTCATCTGTTGATGGACATCTAGGCTCTTTCCATAGTTTGGTTATTGTGGACATTGCTGCTATAGAAACATTGGGGTGCACGTACCCCTTTGGATCACTACATTTGTATCCTTTGGGTAAATACCCAGTAGTGCAATTGCTGGATCACAGGGTAGATCTATTTTCAACTTTTTGAGGAACCTCCATACTGTTTTCCAGAGTGGCTGCACCAGCTTGCATTCCTACCAACAGTGTAGGAAGGTTTCCCTTTCTCTGCATCCTCGCCAACATCTGTCATTTCCTGACTTGTTAATTTTAGCCATTCTGACTGGTGTGAGGTGGTATCTCATTGAGGTTTTGATTTGGATTTCCCTGATGCCGAGCGATGTTGAGCACTTTTTCATGTGTCTGTTGGCCATTTGGATGTCTTCTTTGGAAAAATGTCTGTTCATGTCTTCTGCCCATTTCTTGATTGGATTCTTTGTTCTTTGGGTGTTGAGTTTGATAAGTTCTTTGTAGATTTTGGATACTAGCCCTTTATCTGATATGTCATTTGCAAATATCTTCTCCCATTCTGTAGGTTGTCTTTTGTTTTTGTTGACTGTTTCCTTTGCTGTGCAAAAGCTTTTTGTCTTGGTGAAGTCAGGGTGATTATTTCTAAAAGAGAAGTTGTAGGCTTAACCTGCAGCTAGTGGGAAGCTAGTGTCACTATAATGCTTAGAAGGAAGGCCATGAAAAAAAAATTTTGCAGAATGGAAGCAAGGTTGAAGTCCAACAAGGAGAAAAAGGCAAATTATACCCCTGTAACTTTCCACTTTTGAAAAAACCTGCTATAGGGATCGCCACATGATAGAAATTGCTTTCATTCCAGAGCTCACCCAGCTTGCTTGCTTATATCTGGCTCTTTTCCCCTCAGTTTTTTCTTTTTTTTTTTTTAAAGATTTTATTTATTTATTTGACAGAGAGAGACACAGTGAGAGAGGGAACATAAGCAGGGGGAGTGGGAGAGAGAGAAGCAGGCTTCCCGCGGAGCAGGGAGCCCGATGTGGGGCTCGATCCCAGGACCCTGGGATCATGACCTGAGCCGAAGGCAGATGCTTAACGACTGAGCCACCCAGGCGCCCCTTCCCCTCAGTTTTTGATTATTTTGCTGTGCAGCTATCCATTGATCCTTTAGTTATAGATTACATTCATTAAACTTGTACCATGTGCCAGCCACTCTTCCATGCTTTCTGTATTCCAGTATATTCAAAGTGATCATAGATCAAAATGGTCACACAGCCAGCCACCCTTGGCTGCAGGGAAAGCTGGGAAGCATATTTAGCTTCTTCAGCCTCTATAGTAGAGGCCACAAAAAAGGAACACTTGGAAATGTGTTACATAAACCCTTTCTTACTGCCCTACTTTGGTTATTTTTACTTCCTTTCATTTCCCTTTCTTCTTTCTTATCAATCCAATGCTTTCTCACTAGAGAAATAAAAAGTGCTTTAAAGATTAAGGTTCTTCACTGTTATATTTGACATACGTATTGAAGTTTCATGACAGAATAAATTATAGCTTATATTTTCAATTTTGATTTGTATTGACTAACAGTTACCAAATTTTAGCTTTATAAAGGCATTTCTACAGAGGGAATGTTTACATTATGGTTGGTATATTCACTTGTACAATACTATTCAGCATAAACATAATATGCCAAAGAAGTATATAATCGTTCATTGTACATTTCCTTTTTTCTGTCTTAAGACATTAATGTTATGAGTCAAATGAGAGATGTTTATTTTACCTAACCTGAAGCTTTTTTTTTACAATAAGTTGGTCTTCAGATTTATAAAGCAGAAGAATCATTTGATACAATCAGTTGGAATAGTTCATTTATTCAGTAAATATTTATTATCTATCATGTGGTTGTAGTTATTGAGAGATTAAAGTGTTGGTAGGGCATGATATTTGAGATTTAACTGCCTGTCTTCATGAAAATAGAAGCAATTACCAGCCTTAATAAATAACAATCAAGTATATATAGATAGGTGGGGTGGATGGACAGGCAGAGAGAGATACCTACTAAAAGTGAGATTAATATGATGACTGGTGCCATTTCAATACCATGTTGACTCAAAATATGTTAACTTTTTAAAAATTAAGGTTGACAGATTTGCAATGGAATTAGAACAGAGCCGGGATCTGAACAATACTATAGTGCACATTGACATGGATGCTTTCTATGCGGCTGTAGAAATGAGGGACAGTCCAGAATTGAAGGATAAACCTATTGCTGTAGGATCAATGACTATGTTGGTAAGTAGGTAAAGATCAAAGACAAAAAGGAAATTTCATAACATATTCGAATAAGCCTTACTGGTTCATGAAGGGAGAAGCCTTTAGTAAGCTCTGCCAGTTTGCTGGGCATTTTCCTGTGTGCTTTATATGTGTTCAATTACTGAATCCTTTCAACATCTCTTGCGGTACAAATTTTTATTTCCATTTGACAGACAAAAAACAAACTCAGAGAGGTGTTTAAAAACTTCCCTAAAGTTACAAATCTGGTGAATGGTAGAGTGGCATTGTATCTTTCTGTTGCAAGCTGTATTTTTCTTAAGTTACTGTTCCAGTAAAAGGGAATTGGAGAAGAAAGAAAAGGAAGTGTTACTCCAGAGCAGGTTTGCAAGCAGGCCAAATCTAGTCTTTTTTTGTAAATAAAATTTTATTGGAACAGTCACACCCATTCATTTGTTGTTGTAATAAAAGAGCAGAGTTGAGTAGCTGCAAGAGAGACCATATGATCTGCAAAGCCCAAAGTGACTACTATCTGGACCTTTACAGAAAAGGTTTGCCAACCTTAGGTCTAGGGTAATATATTTTATTATACTACTACTGTAATTAGTTTTTCTCATGACTTGGAACCTTTGCTTTTCTGATTACCATGTTGCTCTACCTTATCACCACCCTAACCATAGAAGGTAAAGATGACCAGGATTGCTATATGTGGCTAAAAATGTGTGGGGAATTAATAATGGCCCCTGGAATAGATGGATTTTGGTATTAAAAAACATGTAAGAGAAACAAGGAGAGTTCTTCCCTGTTCCTAACTCCTTCAAATGCTTTAGATAGATATAAACCTAATTCCTACTGAGTTACTCTTTTATTATAATCTCTTTGTTTATCTTCTCTGCTCCCGTAAGTATGCAGGCAACTAACAATCCAGGTTCCAAAACAATGTTTACCGAATGACTACTCCCCTTTCCTACAAATCATCAGCTGATATTTGAAAAAAATGTATTTAATTTTATTAAGAATATATGTCACCATATATTTATATGAAATTATCTATGTGTGCATATGTATATATATTTTAAAGCTAAACCCACTGCTAGATCTGCAAAATATTTTCCTTCCTATGAATTATATCCTCCTAAAAATTATTTCCAAATTCAAAATGATTATTTGCCATATTTAAACAAAGATTACTCCTTTTGTATGCTCAACTAATAGACTTCATTTCTAATGAGATTTGAAGTATAATTGCTTTTGTTCTATTAAATTCATAAAAGTGTTTTTACAAATTAATGGTAGTGATGGTGCATGTTTGATTATTTCAGTCTATTACAGTTAGAATTCTTTTTTGAATAATTTGACGGATCTTCAGAATGTTCTAAGTTAGCACTCATAGTTGGAACATAGACCCTTAGCAGTTATTTTTTTTTTTAAAGATTTTATTTATTTATTTGACAGAGACAGAGATAGCGAGAGCAGGAACACAAGCAGCGGGAGGGGGAGAGGGAGAAGCAGGCTTCCCCCCGAGGAGGGAGCCCGATGTGGGACTCGATCCCAGGACCCTGGGATCATGACCTGAGCCGAGGGCAGACGCTTAACAACTGAGCCACCCAGGCGCCCGACCCTTAGCAGTTATTTATTGCTGCATAACAAACCCCTTTAAGTACTTAGTGGTTAACCATTTATTTGCTCATGATTCTGTAATTTGAGCAGAGTACAATGGGGATAACTTTACTCTACCTGGGGTTGGCTACAGTTATTTAGCTGGGGCTGAAGGATCCAAAATGGCTTTATTAACACACTTGGCCTTTCAGCCAAGGTGGCTGGAATGGCTTCCAGCCATTGAGCTTTCCCCTCTACACGTGGTACATCATCATTTAGCAATTTAACCCAAGACCTTTACATAGTTGCTGGATCCCCAAGGAAGCAAAGGCTGAAGTTACAGACTTCATAATGCCTAGGCTTCAAGACTCACATAATGTCACTCCCTCACATTCTTCTAGTCAAAACAAGTCATAGTGCAAGTCACTTGGCATGAGGGACTAGAACCTACCCTTGGATAGGAGGAACTATAAAGTATTGTGGCTGTGATTTACAATCTACCACAAATCTAGAAGATAAAGGAAGTTGTATCATAAATTTTGTTCCAGATTTACTACAGATCTAGCTTTCATATCCATTCCGTTAGACTTATTTATGTTTAAAACACTGATTTGTCTTTCTAATGCCATCTGCATTTTCTCTTCCAGAATACTGATCAAAGATTAGCATAGTTTTGAGTACTATCAAGATTTTTTTAAATGCCATTTGAAAGCCACTTATGGCAAATTGATACTATTATGAAGTAATCCCTTCATGTGATAGATTCTGTTTTACATTTCTTTGAATTTTCACTAGAGATTTCATCTGTGATAAAAAAAACCCTTTTTTATAAATGGTACTGTGGTATCATCATCAACAGGATTTAAAAGTAATGTTCTCCTTCTTACTTTCATAAATTTTTAGTCCCATCTCCTACTGAAAATGTTTTCACCAAAAAGGATATTCAAGCCTTAAGAAATAAAACGTAGGGCGCCTGGGTGGCTCAGTTGGTTAAACGACTGCCTTCGGCTCAGGTCATGATCCTGGAATCCCGGGATCGAGTCCCACATCGGGCTCCCTGCTCAGCAGGGAGTCTGCTTCTCCCTCTGACCCTCCTCCCTCTCATGCTCTCTCTCTCTCATTCTCTCTCTCAAATAAATAAATAAAAATCTTTAAAAAAAAATAAAATGTAATTTTAAAAGCTCTTTTAAGCTTCCATCACTTCATTTTTTGAAATTTAATTTGGCTGACTATATAATAGAACCTTTGACTTTTCTAAATGAAAAATTTCAAAACCTCAAATACTGCAAATTCCAAATCTATACTATTATACCATGCTGTTACTTTCTATACTGTTAGTTTCATTTAACATCCATACTATTTGTACTAGAACATTACTTTATAACTATTATTTTCATGTAATATCACCCACTATCATCCAAACTTTGATATATACTATATTACAGGTATGCCTTAGAACCAATGAAGTTTAGTTATTGGAAATGTAAGAGAACCTTTTTATTAGTCTTGTTTATTACCTGGTATCACATAAATATGGAGACAGTAGTGAGAGAGAGGGTCATGCTATCACAATACCATGATAGGATAAAGTAAAAGCTTGATTCGAGACTGTGGCCTATAAAACAAATGTCCTTGACTTGAAAATGCCCATCAGTAATGTGTTTCTTATGAATGCATTGATCGGTATGTCCATTTAGGTTTGTATGTTTTTTCCCATGTGGTCTGTTTTCTTTCAGTCTACTTCGAATTATTATGCAAGGAGATTTGGTGTTCGCGCGGCCATGCCAGGATTTATTGCTAAAAGACTCTGCCCACAACTTATTATTGTGCCCCCAAACTTTGACAAATACCGAGCTGTGAGTACAGAGGTAAGTCTGATGAAGCACTCTTACTTACAGCCTTTCACTGATTTCCTGTCACCTACAATTCCAAATGGCCTTAGCACATCAGAATTCAGCCTTCATTTATCCCTTTAAGTCTTACCTCCTACCACTTTTGATAACTGAGCTGAGTATACAGAATACACCCTTCTATTTCCCAGATCTTTGCTCTTCCACATATTTTTTCATCTGTTTAGAAACTCTTATCTACCTGGAAAACTTTGAATTGCCTAAATTATAATCTATATTAACCTTAGCTGTTTTTTTCTTAATGTGCAATATACATTTTTTTCTAGAATCACCTTATATTTATAATTTACATAATCTATTCATGTCATTAATTTCAACCTCTTTTGTGAATAGATTTTTTATCAAATGTTTTTAAACAGTAATGAAATTCCTTTATTTTGATTAACTGTTTTTCTTGCCCCACAGTCTAGTGAAGATGCTTATGAGCCTTTAATGTTCGAGAGACTGATAATCAAGAAAAAAAGGGAATCATCTTGCTTTGAAAAGGATCTCTGAAATATAAAGATTTGATTACTTAGCAAAATTGCCTGAACTGTCATATATGAAAAATTGCCATTTTCTCTATTTTTGATAACTGGACTATCGTTTAGCTAGTGCTAAAACTTAAATCATAAATTAAAATTTTAGAATACTACATCAGTTTCAGACTACTGTAGTAAAATGCATTGTGTTAAAGACTGCTGTCTGAATTGAAACCCTTAAAAAACTATGGCCTAAGCACTCACAACCATTTAGTCATGTAGATGATCTTTATATTCGCTCCTCTTATTTGTATTCTACCTCATGTACTCTAGAAATGAAACCTCCCCAAATTGGAATGGTACACCACCCCAAATTTTTTTAAAAATTCTGTTTTTCATTCTTTCAATAACAGTCTGTGGCAGCAAGTGCTTTTTGCCTATCTCTGAAAAGGTGGTGGAGAAGGGGGAAGCACGTTCATGTGTGGTTACTGCTTGTCTTTTTTTACCATATTCCTGATGAGAAAGACATAAAATGCTAACCATAAATATTATGGGCTTTCAATAAGTTTGAAAATCTTTCAGAGACCTTGTAAGAAAGAATTTTTTTGAGTCCTGCTTTAACTCAGTAAAACTTACGATAATATGATAATGAGAGCTAAATTGTTTTTAGTTCTCTTCTGTCTAGTTACTTACAGAAATTGGAGAAATCTTTCTCAAATTTGAGGAGGATGTAACTAGTTTATTTGCAGATAGCAAATGGGTTCTTATGTGTGAACGAACTACAGCACAAATTCACTGACTCTAAGTATATTAGTATGTATGACTTGGTTTAAAAGTTTAAGGAAAGCCATTTTTATTTTATCCAAAAGAATGGAACAGCTTTAACTGTTGGAAGCCTAAGTGCTTTAATTTTACTGGAACATGTCTATTTTTGTTCTTCAAGCAGTATCCTATGAAAAGGAAGTTAGTGAGTACTCCATGTCTCTAGGGAGTACTTCTCATTCAGAATAATCTTAGTTGGCTGCCAACTCCCGACTTTCCAGAGTTTCATTTTCACTAGAAAGATTCCATTTGAGTACATTATAAAACTGGTTTCTTCCAGAAGAACAAAGCTAATTAAGGTACTGTCTGAGTAAAGCTTGGCCAAATTTTATATCACCATTTTCTAAAATTACCTTTGACTCAGCTGTTCATAATTAAATTAAGCTAAAAAGCTTTATTTTATAAAACTTCAAAAAAGGTTTCCTCATGATACAGCAGACAGATTTTAAATACTAGATGGAAGGATAACATAATTCAACAAATACGTTTTTCACAAATATGTATATATTATTTTGGCAAACATTTCCTCCAATTTCAGTTAATACTTCAGTGGTTAAAAAAATTTATAGTTTCGGGGCGCCTGGGTGGCTCAGTTGGTTAAGCGACTGCCTTCGGCTCAGGTCATGATCCTGGAGTCCCTGGATCGAGTCCCACATCAGGCTCCCTGCTCAGCAGGGAGTCTGCTTCTCCCTCTGACCCTCCCCCCTCTCATGTGCTCTCTCTCTCATTCTCTCTCTCTCAAATAAATAAAATCTTTAAAAAAAAATTTATAGTTTCATGTAATAAAACTATTTTTCATAAATGGCATTTCTGGAATCATATGGAAATTCTGATCTCTTATTTATTTCAAGATGCAGCTCCAGACTTTTCCCATCATTTAATATAGTCACATACTTCCACTATAGATTTTGTAATCTTTTCCATTCCAAATCTCGATAATTGAGCTTTGTTTCCTGAATGGATACATGCATTAGTGTATGTTTTGAGTGGAGTTTTATGTGCATATTATAATTAATTAAAATAAAACTACTTTCTAAAGCAACATAGTACTTTTATGTAGGATTATTCCTTTTAGGGGCACCTGGGTGGCTCAGTTGATTAAGCATCAAATTCTTGATTTTGGCTCAAGTCTTGATCTTAGGGTTGTGAGTTCAAGCACTGCTTTGGGCTGCATGCTGGGTGTGGAGACTACTTAAAAAAAAAGGATTACTCCTTTTTAAAATAAACAAAAAACGTGAGGGGGAGCAGGATCTTATTGTTCCCACTTCTACTTTTGACCAGTTACTTAAAATTATGTTACTTAACCAGAATGATGTCTGAGATTTATTTGAATCATTCATTATATCTAGATAAAGGTGGCTGAATAGAGATTGTATCAAATGAAGCTCTTTCATGGTCTTCTGCCTTCTTGATCTATTTAAAAAAAAAATTTTTTTTTTTTTTTAGATTTTATTTATTTGGGAGAGAGAGACAGAGATAGTGAGACAGAGAGCACAAGTGGGGAGGAGAGGGAGAAGCAGGCTCCCCACAGAGCAGGGAGCCCGACGCGGGACTCGATCCCAGGACCCGGGGATCATGACCTGAGCCGAAGGCAGACGCCTAACCGACTGAGCCACCCAGGCGCCCCTTCATGATCTATTTTAATGCAAAAGAGAATTTGGACAAACTTGTGCTAGGCAATAAATTATTTATTCCCTAAATCCATGAGCTATTGATTGCAGGATTTTTACTATAGTTGCAAAGTAAGAATATTAATGTTTCTTATCTGCTGTTATATTACAGGTTTTGCTATGGCAGCAAAATTTAAACCATTTTGTTCCTTTTGAAGGTTAAGGAAATACTTGCTGATTATGATCCCAATTTTATGGCCATGAGCCTTGATGAAGCCTACTTGAATATAACAAAGCACTTACAGGAAAGACAAAATTGGCCTGAGGACAAAAGGAAGTATTTCATCAAAACAGGAAACTCTCTAGAAAATGGTAAGCAATTTATTAGAATGATCAAACTAAAAAACAAACAAAAAGCCCTTTGAATTAACTCAATTAACTTATTAGCATGCATAGATGGTAGAACTAGATATACCTTTATTATGAAAAAGTATTAAAAATGAGAAATCAGAAACTTAAAGTATACCAGTGGAATTTCTAAATTAAATTTGTAACTTTTAAACCAAAGAGATTGGTTTAAATCATTTTTAAACCAAATGAGATTGTTAAATTTCTAGAGTTTAAGAATGTGCAGAGCCCCTGAACACAGTAATTTCATAGCGGTTCTTTTCTGAAGATCTAATAAGAAAGGGTTGGATCGTGTTGAATCTGAGGAAGGTATCTATTTAAGGTGGCCTTTTGTTGTAGTTGTTAAAAGAAATTAGATTTTTTAAAAATTAGCCTCAAACATATCAAAACATTGGGTGGGGTTTTTTCCCCTCGTTTTCAAAATTATCTATAATCTGGTTATACAGTGATTATAACTGTTTTCAACCTTGCCAAAATTAATGACTCCCAACTCTCTTCTTTGCCTTAGACCTTATTGTGATTCTTTTGTATACACTGATACAGAAGTTTCATGACCCTGAGGTTTTTTCCAATGATCCCTTTGTTACTTATACAAAATAATGTCAAAGAACATGTAGATATTACATATACTGCTTTCAACCCTCTCTCAGAGGTATGATTACTTCAAATAGCTGTCCTGGACCCCTGAGCAAAGTTCACCTGGATGAAAAGGTAGAAACAGAGGGTTTGCTCACAGCCCCCAGCTGTATTTCATGTGCACAACTCATTGACTTCGTCAGGTGGGGACAGCCAGTGGTGGGGAAACCTGTTTGTAACCTTCCCTGAGGCAAAAATGGTAGATCTTCGATGGCATAACATTCTAACTCTCATATTGTTTGGGGCTCACATCTTTGGAGCAAGTTTAGTGTGGACATCAAATCACAACTACACTATCTTATTTAGAACTCTAAGGAACAAGTCTCTCTCTTCAATAGAAACATTAAACAATAAACAAGCATCATTCCTGGACACAGAGGCTTAGAGCAAAAAATTTTCTGCAGTAAATCTTTATTGTTTGGGGGAAGATGCACACAAAGCCTGATGTCAGTTTGCTTTACATATCCATTTATTTCCTTACTTTTCACAAGAAAAGGTGGGGGAACCATTATATGGTTACATCAGAGCATCTCCCTGAGGACCTCCTATAACAATTATGTTCACAGTATGTTTAAAAAAATTACACTGGGACTAAGGTAAATATTTTCATTCTCTATTAATGTTCTTTTCATTTATTACACTATGTGCAAACTCTCTTGGAGGAAGTGAACTTTCAATTACGTATGTACTTTACTCTTCCTGTATTTCATATTTTTAAGCAATTTAAGTAGTTTTAACTTTTTTTTCTCATATATAAATCCCTGTGGGCTGGACTTTTCAGCATATCTGATTTCACATTATGCCATGGGAAGCTGTCAACAGTGAGTTGGCACCATGGCAGGTGATTGATATATCTTCCTCCGAAGTCCAAGACATTTTTCTGCTGTTTGCCCCTTTTCTGAAAGGTGCAGTCTTTGGAAAAGTATTGCTAAATACTTTGTCTATAAACAAATAAAATAATTATTATTTTATGTTTATTCTGCCATATAAATCTGCATGGTGAGTGGGAGGCAATGTAAGAAACCAAAATACCATATACTTTTAGCACTCGCCATCCATATATTCCACATAAAGATGGGATGCTTTAATCCTAGTGTTTCAGATGATGAGAAACCTTAGTTTTGTACTCTGATCACCTCAGTTATGGGGATTATAAAGACTTTTTTTTTTTTTTTTTTTTTTTTTTTTTTTTTTTCAGAAAGCAAATAAGAAACTACTTTAACATTAGTCGTATAGCCAGGCCACACAGAGAAGTAGACAGATTGAATAATAGGTAACTGGGCCATTCAGTAGCTGCTCTAACAAGGACAGAACCTGAAGGCAGCATGCTTTGCTTCCTACTCTAGCGTTCCATCAGTGACCTACCTAAAGGGTACTATGATGGACTCATGAGGTACAAAACATGGGATAACTCTGCAGGAGGGGCTTATGAATGTCACAGGTACCTTACTTGGTTTGTAATTTTTGTACAGCTCTCTTTACCTTGACTTTTACCCATCCAGATAGGGCAAAGGGGGCCAGGTAGATACCATTTCAACTGTGCCGCAGCCATAATGCTTTCTGAAATGCTCCGCATTTTATTGTTTCTTTAAAGATTTTATTTATTTATTTGACAGAGAGAGACACAGTGAGAGAGGGAACACAAGCAGGGGGAGTGGGAGAGGGAGAAGCAGGCTTCCCACCAAGCAGGGAGCCCGATGTGGGGCTCGATCCCAGGACCCTGGGATCACGACCTGAGCCGAAGGCAGACGCTTAATGACTGAGCCACCCAGGAGCCCTGATGCTCTGCATTTTAAAACCAGAATATGGAAAATGAAAGTAACTGAAGGACCTAAATAATAGCTAATATTAAGTTTGAAAATAAGGCTTATTTTGTATATGGCCTGGGAATTCAGATTTGGAAAACATTTGTCTGTAACTGAATTCATATTATGTGCTTTATAATTTGAAACTAATCTGGTGTTTGTCATATTATTTATATTATCTTTAGAAAACCCTCCTTAAAAGGCCTAGTTCATTTTTAAAATAATATGCATTTATATGTGTCTTGAAACTAGAAACTTAATTTTTGGCTCTGCATTTACCTCAATTTGGAAAACATTTATATGTAATAAAATTATGAAATGAGATCAGAAAGCTCTGTTGTTAATCTTAGTTTTTATAAATACATTAAATTGTATTTCTCTTCCATTAAGCCCAGAAAGTAATCGTTAATGGATTTGTTCATGAGGACATTTTTAATATTGGTACAGATTTAAATATATTTTACAGTCCATTTGTGAAAAATGGCAAATAAAATGAAGTAAAAACCAGATTACTATTTTTACTTTACTTTTCAATAGTAATATTAGGTTGTAGCCTACAGATAATATTATAGTTAATCTGATTAGACTTTAAGAATTTGTATATTTAGGGGCGCCTGGGTGGCTCAGGTGGTTGAGTGTCTGCCTTCGGCTCAGGTTCTGATCCCAGGGTCTTGGGATCGAGCCCCACATTGGGCTCCTGGCTCAGCAGGGAGCCTGCTTCTCCCTCTCCCTCTGCCTCTCCCCCTGCCCATGCTCTCTGTCTCTCTGTATCTCTGTGTCTCAAATGAATAAATAAAATCTTTAAAAAAAAAGAATTTGTATATTTAAAGAAGTGTAACTTCCAGAAGTAATTACTATTTATTTCAAAAGTGCCCTCAGTAAAAGTGATACTTTATACATAAGCAAGTCAAAATCAAAAAAGCATTTTTTCTTAAAGATTTTTTATTTATTTGACAGAGAGAGACACAGAGAGAGAGGGAACACAAGCAGGGGGAGTGGGAGAGAGAGAAGCAGGCTTCCTGCCGAGCAGGGAGCCCGATGCGGGACTCGATCCCAGGACCCTGGGATCATGACCTGAGCCGAAGGCAGACGCTTAACAACTGAGCCCCTAGGTGCCCCTAAAAAAGCATTTTTAAAAGAAGAAAAGTGAGAGTATTTTAATATCTGAGAAGTCTCTTCCATGAATGAAGAAAATTTAAGGTTTTTTCCCTCTAAAAACAAAATTTATTTCTCAGGCATAATTATTCCTGATTGCTTAATGCCTTTTTCTCATTCCTAAATTCTAATTTAATGAGTAAAAGAAAAAAAAAGCTTTCTTTCTTTTTTTTTTAAAGAAAAAAGTAATGTGACTCTGGGCCCAATTCTAGGTTTCAATTAATTTAGGTAAGATAACACAAATTCATGATTTTTACATAAGATGTTTCCTCTTCAAATGTATACTACAGAAGTAGATAATATTCTTTTTAAGAAAAACTTAGAATCAGTATTTTCTTTGGTAAACAAAGAAATATAAATAACATTTCTGATCTTGGCTCTTAGAAACAAAACTAAACTAGATTTGTTTTGTCTTTAGAAGGAATGTAGGAAAACCTCATTTATTATTTTTTTTTAAGATTTTTTTTTTTTAAGATTTTATTTATTTATTTGACAGAGACAGCGAGAGCAGGAACACAAGCAGGGGGAGTGGGAGAGGGAGAAGCAGGCTTCCCGCGGAGCAGGGAGCCCAATGCAGGGCTCGATCCCAGGACCCTGGGATCATGACCTGAGCCGAAGGCAGACGCTTAACGACTGAGCCACCCAGGCGCCCTGGAAAACCTCATTTATGAAGTATGTACTTCTTAAAATGAAGATGATTACTGTTCTGTTTATAATTTAGAGAAACCAGGAAAAGAAGCTAATAAACTGAATGAGCATGAGCGATCCGTCTCTCCACTACTTTTTGATGATAGTCCTCCTGATTTGCAGCCACAAGGAAACCCTTTACAAGTGAACTCTGAAGAACAGAATAATCCTCAAATACTCCAAAATTCAATTGTTTTTGGAACATCAGCTGAGGAAGCAGTAAAGGAAATTCGTTTCAGAATCGAGCAAAAAACAACACTGACAGCCAGTGCAGGTACTTAAAAGTGATTTGGTGGCTACCATAGTTAAAATTTTCAGACTGGCTCATTCAAGTGCAATATTAGTATTTTCTCATTATGAAGCATATAGTAATGGTTTACTTATCCTTTTTGATTCAACTTCTAATGACTTTATGTATTCAGAATACTGTGAACCTACAGGTAAATTGGAATTAAGCAGAAAAGCCTATGAGCCCAAAGAAAAAAACTATCATAAATCTCACGTGGCTATCCTTTTTAAAGCATACAATATATTTTAATTGGCTTAGTACATCATACTTTATTAGTTTTCCCTTTGAAAGCTTCAGCCCTGTCCAGGATTACTGTGCAGGAGAGACCCCAGGTGACCACAAAGTAGAAGATAGAAGAAGCCCTAACGAGCAACATAGCAATCTGGGGCCAGCTGGTGAAAGGAAAAGGAGTTTTACAAATGTCAGTAACCCATGAGGGTACCACTGTGTCTTAGCATAGAAACTGATTTTCATCATGAGGACCCTAAATTATCATTATGATTAGGTTAATCTTTTTTTTTTCTGTACCAAAGTGTGAGAATAAGTAACAAATTTTAGTAGGATGTGAATAAAAATTGAATTGAATCATTTAATGATTATATTTGAATATACCTATTTCAAGTTATCTTAATCATCGAATCTCCTAGAAATTTTAAAACACCTTTCTGAAAAGTACTAATTTGCTTTGTGAATAACATAAAAAGAGTGCATATATTTTATTATCATTGTTTTAAATATAATGCAACCCAGAATCTTTGGTTTTTTTTTCTTTATGTGGATAATCTATACAAAAGACCTTTTCAAAGAGTGAACATCCATCCTAAATTATATTCTGGATCTTTTCTATAAGTCAACCCTGTACTGCAACTAAAGATAGTCTGTAAACTAATAATATCACTTAAATAAACTCAGAAATTACTCTTAGACTTTAAAATACCATGGAGATTTAAATACTCCTCACTTCTGCTGCCACAGTAAGTAATACAGTTCCTTTTCCTAAAATTGCATTGAGCCCTGGGGAGATAGGTAGTTATCAGATGTTATTTTTAAAGTACCATTCCACATCATTTCAGACTTTTTGCATTCACCATTTCTGTATTGTCATCTCATATTTTAAAATGATACATGTCAACTTCTTTGAGTCATCAGAGTGTTCTTCTTTTAAGGCATTGCCCCAAATACAATGTTAGCAAAAGTATGCAGTGATAAGAATAAACCAAATGGACAATACCAAATTCTCCCTAGCAGACAAGCTGTGATGGACTTCATCAAGGACTTACCCATTAGAAAGGTAAGATTTTGTATAAAATTTCTAGAAATTTTATTTATATAAAATATAATGTTATTTATATTTAAATATAAACTACATTTATAAACACACACACATACATATATATATATATATATATATATATATATATATATATTCTGAAGAGATACCACTTAGGATGGTAGTAATCATTCTTTGCTGAAAAGTTTTAGAACAGTAGGTAACAAGCAAAAAGTATAATGGATGATTGAATTTGGATTTGAAGAAGTCATTCTATGAAACCCTAAAATTGACATTTAGGAAATGTGTTTGCCAAAAAGTTTTAAGAAAGTAATAGATGAAAGACTTTTAAGTGTACCTCTGCCAAGAAGAACAGAAATAAGAAGAATACTTGTAAGAGTCCTTTCAGCTGAAACTTAATATACTATCTTGGTTCTAAAGTCTAAATTGCCGTCAGATTAATAGGTATGATACTTCAAAGAGATTTAGAAATTTAATTGTTTTTGACCAAAAAAAAAAAATCCCAAAATACATTTCTATCTTTAAAATGGTAAAACGATCCCTTAGGCATTATAGAAAGGGTGTGTTTCATTATTTTTTACAGCTTGTAGATTTTTCTGCATATATGCTTTTTTTTAAACAATAATTACACTACACTCTATTTGATGCTCTGAGGCTTGATTTTCTCACATCACATACATGAGTGAATTTAAATAAACATTTTTCAATGTCCAGAAGAAAGGCTATATCAGAGAATATAATGTATGATCACTGTATAGAATATGTAAGATGTAGCTATAAAGCAGTGTTTTCCATTGTGTTTTTCAAGATATGAATAGCTATTCCATTAAAAAAGTTTCTGGGGTCAGAGAATTTTGGAACGTATCAGCCTTAGTGGGTAACAACAGATAATATTATATTAAAGATTCATAAGTTTTGCAGTAAAAAGTTTATTTTAGATTTGCTTGTTCTGGGGCGCCTGGGTGGCTCAGTCGTTAAGCGTCTGCCTTCGGCTCAGGTCATGATCCCAGGGTCCTGGGATCGAGCCCCACATCGGGCTCGCTCGGCGGGAAGCCTGCTTCTCTCTCTCCCACTCCCCCTGCTTGTGTTCCTTCTCTCGCTGTGTCTCTCTCTGTCAAATAAATAAATAAAATCTTTAAAAAAAAAATAGATTTGCTTATTCCACCATTTTCCAAGTTTCTATGACTATAGAACTCTTTTTTTAATGCCTTTTTAAAAAAGATTTTATTTATTTATTTGAGAGAGAGAGAGAGCACGAGTTGGGGAGAGGGGCAAAGGGAGAGGGAGAAGCAGGCTCCCTGCTGGCTGGGAGCCGATGCGGGACTTGATCCCAGGACCTTGAGATCACGACCTTAGCTGAAGGCAGACTTTTAACCGACCAAGCCACCTAGTCGCCTCTTTAATGCTTTTTAAAGTTTCGTGAAATTTAAAATTTCCATGCAACACTAGTTTAGGAGATGTGCCTAGAAATAAAGTAGTTTTCTTGTATGACTTGTGAAGATGGTCACATTATTTATACCTTTTATTGGTTATAAAAGGTATAATGAGATTAAATATCTGTTCTTGCCTTAATGTAAAACTGTACTGATGATAAATATTGACTCTTTTCTAGGTTTCTGGAATAGGAAAAGTTACAGAGAAAATGTTAAAGGCACTTGGAATTATTACTTGTACAGAACTCTACCAACAGAGGGCATTGCTTTCTCTTCTTTTCTCTGAAACATCTTGGCATCATTTCCTTCATATTTCCCTGGGTCTAGGTTCAACACACCTGGCAAGGTATCTATATGTATAGTCATTCTGTTTTTTCCTTATCATTTGCTGAAATAACAATTTTAACCATTGACATGGAGGCTATAGGATAACATGGAGGCTACATGTTTTTTTCTTTGTTTTTAAAGATTTATTTATTTATTCCAGAGAGAGAGAGAGCAGGAGGGGCAGAGGGAGAGGGAGAGAGAGAATCTCAAGTAGACTCCGCAGAGCACAGAACCTAACACAGGGCTTGCTCCCAGGACCCCGAGATCACGACCTGAGCTGAAACCAAGAGTCAGATGCTCAACTGACTGTGCCACTCAAGCGCCCCTATAGGATAACATGTTTTAAAATTTTTTTAGGCTTGTTCATTCTGGAATATATTTTTTGAATTAGAGTCAAAAGATTGCAGGTGGGAGGAAAGGAAAAGAGGAACAAAGAATCACTCCTTGGCTGTTGGCTACAGCAATTGGTTAGATAGACAAGAAGAATGATGAGTACTTTCTTTTTTGTACCTACTTTGTTTTTTGTTCAGAACACAAGACTAATGGTGGTCTGATTGTCAAGGAAGGAAAGGTGGCTCCTATTCCAGAATTTACCCCATAAGTGAGGAGATTTAATGATTATTTGAAAGCCTTCATGAACTAACAACTGTATTTCTTTTCTTTTTCCAGACGTGTAAATGATTGGCTGATTCATTTAGTACTGAGTACTTACTTCGTTAGTTATTGTTTTAGGCACTGGGAAGAACAGTAGAAAATGAGACAAAATCTTGCCTTTATGGAGTTTACAGAATAGTGTGGCAAGTAGGAAGTAACCAAATAAACAAATGAAGAAAGTAAGGCAGAGGAAGGGACTAGAAAATGACTTGGGGAGTAAGAGTGGGGGTTGGCAGCCATGATCCAGAGGCAGGGACCTGAAGGGGCCAGCCATGCAAAGATGTAGGAGAAGAGGAAACGGCTGAAAGAGAGGTCCTGTGATTCTTCCCTGCCACTCTTTCATCTCAGTCTTAAAAAGAAATATCCTAGAGCTAGAAGGGTACACTGTTGAGAGTGGGTGAAAAGAAGGGAATTTTTTAAAAGAATGGGAATTAACATGGGGCACTACTTTTATAATTTTGTCATCATCCTGTCAGCCTGCCCCCCAAATAATTCCTTTATATACCTAAGCTAAAAGAAAGCAAGATTACTGAGGAGGCATATGAAATAAGTTTGATAAAATAATTAAATCTGCTAAATCTTACAGAGATTGCAGGTACTGTTTTTCTCATCTGTCCACGCTCCTCATTCTTTTTTTTTTGTTTTTTGTTTTTAAAGATTTTATTTATTAGAGAGAGAGAGAGCGTGCACACGAAAGAGCACAAGCAGGGGGAGTGGCAGAGGGAGAGGGAGAAGCAGGCTTCCCGCTGAGCAGAAAGTTCCATGTGGGACTCTATCCCAGGACCCCAGGATCATGACCTGAGCTGAAGGCAGACGCTTAACCAACTGAGCTACCCAGGCGTCCCCATGTTCCTCATTCTTTAGCCCATAGTTAGCTGACTTTGATCTTGAGTGGATATAATGAAAAGATCAGAGAAGGAAATCACACTACTATAAATAATCTAGTATTTGGAGGTAATGGGAAATAAAACTTTTTTCTTTAACCCAAGAATTACCCTCTTTTTTATTTCCATAGTGCTTGAAAACAATATAGTTCTTGATATAACATAGCATGTATTAATCTGGTATTTAAAGATGCAGGTAATGCTTTGAAGTGAAATTCATAGGTAATTTATAATAATGTAAAATAGCAAACCTCCTTTCCCTTCTATGTACATTCTCTATTCTCCTATTCTGCTTTATTTTTTAATCCTTAATACTTCTTACCTTCTGACATACTCCAGATTTACTTCTATATTTGTTTGTCTCCCTCCAGTAAGATGTAAGTTTCTTAAGGATAAGAACTTGGTCTGTTTTGGTCATAACTGTATACCCAGTGCCTAGAATAGTACTTCATTCCTAATAAGTTCACTGAATATGTGGAAAATGAATAATCTACATTTCATTTCAGCTTTTTAGTTTCAACTACATTTATCAGAACAGCTAGAATTCAACCAAACTAGATGGTTCAGATTCCAAATCACCATCCTATTGCTGTGTCCAAATTCTAACTGAAGTTCTATAGAGTGGTATAAGTGATTAATAAATAGCTATAGGAGAGCACAGTTATATACTAGGCCCAAAACTAGGTAATTGATATTTAATCATATCATATAACTGTAAGCCATTACGCTACTAACTCTTACTGGTTTTTATAAGTCATGGTTTTTATATTCACACTTTTAGTAGAAGCAGTTTATAATATCAACCTATTTTCAAATTTGTTCTCTTTGATAGATATAGACTTGATCCATTATACATATAATCATATTAGCATCTATCTGTATTTTTTGTTGGTAGTTTTATTTTGAGATTTTATTTTATTTATTTATTTATTTATTTATTTATTTATTTATTTATTTATTTTTAAAAAAGATTTTATTTATTTATTTGAGACAGAATGAGAGAGAGAGAGAGCACATGAGAGGGGGGAGGGTCAGAGGGAGAAGCAGGCTCCCCGCAGAGCAGGGAGCCCAACGCGGGACTCGATCCCAGGACCCTGGGATCATGACCTGAACTGAAGGCAGTCTCTTAACCAACTGAGCCACCCAGGCGCCCTATTTTGAGATTTTAAAAACTCACTGTTCTTGGGGCACCTGGGTGGCTCTGTCGTTGGGTGTCTGCCTTCAGCTTGGATCATGATCCCGGGGTCCTGGGATCGAGCCCTGCATGGGACTCCCTGCTCCACGGGAAGACTGCTTCTCCCTCTCCCACTAACCAACCCCCCCCCGCCCCCCTCCCCGGCTTGTGTTCCCTCTCTTGCTGTGTCTCTCTCTGTCAAATAAATAAATAAAATCTTAAAAAAAAAAAACACACAAACCCTCACTGTTCTTCATGGTGTATAAATTTTAACCAAAAACATTAAAGAGATCTTTAAATGGTAATTGATATGTTAAATCCTTTTGGTTGACTAAAAAGAACTGAGTCTCCTTTGAAAAAGCAAAAGAAAACTTTTGTTTCTTTTTTTCATTTCAAGGGATGGAGAAAGGAAAAGCATGAGTGTTGAGAGGTAATGTTGTTATTTTTAATTGTTCATAATTCATGTTATTTTTAACTTTTAATCTTTAGTAAAATATCACTGAAATAGAAAAATCTGTGTGCAAACCAAATGACATTTTTCAGTAGTTGACATTACTAAAGTAAATATTCCAGTACAAGGCTTTATTACCTTTGCTTGCTATGCTCTCCGTGGGAAAAAATTTAACTACAGTTTTTTTTTTTTTTAAAGATTTATTTATTCATTTGAGAGAGCGAGAATGAGAGAGAGTACATGAGAGGGGGGAGGGTCAGAGGGAGAAGCAGGCTCCTCACCGAGCAGGGAGCCCAACGCGGGACTTGATCCCGGGACTCCAGGATCATGACCTGAGCCAAAGGCAGTTGCTTAACCAACTGAGCCACCCAGGCGCCCTACAGTTATTTTTTTTAATGTTGGTTTCCTCCTATTCAATGAAAACCTGTCATCTTATGGATTCTAAATCTTAATTTCTAGCTTTGTTTATAAGAAAAATACTGAGTAGTTATTTGGGAAATTTAAGAAGGGACCATGGAAATTCTTCCTGAAACTCTTCAAATGTTGGTGAAAAGGGTCAAATAGTAAGATATTGATGAAAGAGAGCTTACAGGGGGCATAGTCCAGTGGTTTACAATCTTGTTTGGAAAACAAATGAAATCTTGATGAGACTTATTGTTTTCAGAAATATGTCATTGTTTGAAAAGTCCCTGAATTATCTCCTCCAAACACTAAAGTTCCACTGAGATGTTTAAGAACCACCGATCTAGTACAAGGTTGTGTTCCTTTTTCACATATATGTTCTTTCAAGTGTATTTATTTATTTTTTTAGTAACCTCTACACCCAGTGTGGGGCTCGAACTCATGACCCTGAGATCAAGAGTCCATGCTCTTCCAACTGAGCCAGCCAGAAACCTCTCACATATGTTATTTTTTATCAGAAAGGCTGAGTGACTTTTACAAGACAACATACTCAGTAAATGACTTTGATAAACATTGCTGTTTTAGGCTGTGATTTACATAAAAACACTCAAAGGAAAAGAGGGGGAAAAAGATTCTAAAAGTGAGATGGTACTGTCCTATTTAATATTTTATATATATATATATATATACACCTATACATACAGTGGAATATTACTCAGCCATCAAAAAATGAAATCTTGACATTTGCAATGATGTGGATGGATCTAGACAGTATTGTGCTAAGTGAAATAAGTCAGGCAGAAAAAGACAAATACCATATGATTTCACTCATGTGGAATTTAAGAAACAGAAACAAGCATAGGGAAAAAAAGAGAGGTGCAAACCAAGAAACAGACTCTTAACTCTAGAGAACAAACTAATGGTTACCAGAGGGGAGGTGGGTGAGGGGATGGGTAAATAGGTAATGGGGATTAAGGAGGACACTTGTGATGAGCATCAGGTGTTGTATGGAAGTGATGGACCACTATATTGTACACCTGAAACTAACATTACACTGTATGTTAATTGGAATTTATATAAAAACTTAAAAAAAAAAACAACAGAAAGGAAACTATACTGGGGGTTGGTGGGGAGAAAGGGCCAGCAGACCTATAGATCTAATTAGTTAACAAAGAAGGAAGTACAAATGCCTCTTGAAACATTGAAAATATTCCCAGTCTTTTTTATAATTTAAGAAGTACAGATTGAAGGTTCTCAAGATAGCCTTTTTCACTAATGGGTTGGCAAAGATACTCTATTGGCCAGACTATGGGAGTGAAATACCTATAAACTCTGGAGGGAGTATAGTAGTTTTTTATTGGTCCTATAACATATTACTACAGATTTAGTGGCTTAAAACAAACAAATTTATTCTCTTACAGTTCTGAATCAGGAGTCCTAAAATTAAGGTGTTGCAAGGTTGCAAGCCTTCTGAAGTCTCCAGGAGCGGATCCATTTTCTTACCAAAAACTTTTAGGGGCTGCTTATGTTCTTTGACTGATGGCCCCATCCTCCATTTCAAACCTAGCATTTTGTCTTTCTGTGATTCTCACCCTCCTGTCTTCTCATAAGGACCCTTGGGATTACATTGGACCCACCTGGACAATTCAGGATAATCTCTCCATCTTAATTTAATCATATCTGCAAAGTCACTTTTATCCTGTAATGTACTGGGTTCCGAGATACTAGGATTTGGACATCTTTGGGGTCCATTATTTTACCTACCACAGGGAGCAAGCATTTTGGCAATGTCTGTTAAACTCACAGATACACATGCACTTTGATCCCACAGCTTTTTTTTCTAGGAATTCATTCTACACATGTAATCATATGTCATGTTATAAGTATATCAGGTTATTTGTTATATTTTTTTATGATAACAAAAGATAGAGAGTAACTTAAATTTCCAAAAATAGAGCATTGGTTAAATGATCTTACATCTTTAAATTAGAATATTAGGCTGCTGTATAAAAATGAGGGAATTATTTATTCATAAGGAACTCTCACCAGGATGAATTGAAAAAAGAAGATGCTAAACAATGTGTCTAATATTCTGTTTATGTAAAAAATGCAGGGGAAATGTTTGCTTGTTTGCTTATACAAAGAATATTCTGGAGAAATTTAAATAAATAGGAAGCTGGAAACATTGGTTGGAGGAGAACTGGGTAGCTGGGGTTAGAGTTATAAGGGGAACTCTTCACTGAATAGTCATCTGCTCAGGGTTTGATCTCTCTTTAGCATCTTCCTCTTTTATGTTAATATGACCTCTTGCATTCTTTCAATACTCTTGTGCAGATGAATTCAAATTTCTACATTTAATCTTACCAGCCCTCCATTTCCAGTTGTCTATTAGGCAACTCTATGTAGGTGCCAGGAACCATCCCCTTACATCTACTTGAAGATACTCCTATTCCAAAAAATATATGTACGGTAATTAGAATAATGTTCTCCTATATACTTTCTTAAGATAACCCTCTGTAGCAGTCTATATACACATATACCATAATGTATTGTAAGTTCTGAGGGCATTATCATTATCTGTTGGTGACTTTAATCAACTTTAAAAAAAGATTCCAGTGTACTTAACGTACAGTGTTATATTAGTTTCAGGTATACAATAGAGTGATTCAGCAGTTCCATATATTACTCAGTGCTCTTCAAGATAAGTGTACTCTTAATCCCCATCACCTATTCACCTGTTTCCCCTACCCACCTCCCCTCTGGTAACCATCTGTTTGTTCTCTGTAGTTAAGAGTCTATTTTTTTTGTTGTCTCTTTTTTTTTTTTCCTTTGTTTGTTTTGTTTCTTAAATTCCACATATGAGTGAAATCATGTGGCATTTGGCTTTCTCTGACTGACTTATTTTGCTTAGCATATACTCTCGAGATCCCTCCATGTCTTTGCAAATGGCAAGATTTCATTCTTTTTTTATGGCTGAATAATATATATATATATATATACACCACATCTTCTTTATCCAATCATCAATCGATGCACTTGGGCTGCTTCCATAATTTGACTATTGCAAATAATGCTGCAATAAACATAAGGGTGCATATATCCCTTCAAATTAGTGTTTTCAAATTCTTTGGGTAAATACCCAGTAGTGTGATTACTGGATCGTAGGATAGTTCTATTTTTAATTTTTTGAGGAACCTCCATACTGTTTTCCGGAGTGGCTGCCCCAGTTTGCATTCCCACCAACACTGTAAGAGGGGTCCTTTTTCTCCACATCCTTGCCAACACTTGTTTCTTGAGTCTTTGATTTTAGCCATTCTGACAGGTATGAGGTGATATCTCATAGATATCTCATTATTTGCATTTCCCTGATGAGTGATGTTGAGCATCTTTTCATGTGTCTGTTGGCCATCTGTAAGTCTTTTTTGGAGAAATGTCTGTCCATGTCTTCTGCCTATTTTTTAATTGGATTATTTGTTTTTTGGGTGTTGAGTTGTCTCATTCTTTATATATTTTGGACACTTGCCCTTTATCAGACATGTCATTTGCAAATATCTTCTCCTATTCCATAGGGTGTCTTTTGGTTTTGTTGGTTGTTTCCTTTGCTGTGCAGAGGCTTTTTATTTTGATGTAGTCCCAATAGTTTATTTTTGCTTTTGTTTCCCTTGCCTTGGGAGACATATCTAGAAAGATGTTGTGAGTGATGTCAGAGAAATTACTGCCTGTGATCTCTTCCAGGATTTTTATGTTTTCAGGTCTCACATTAGGTCCTTAATCCATTTTTTTTTAAAAAGATTTTATTTATTTATTCATGAGAGACAGAGAGAGAGAGGCAGAGGGAGAAGCAGGCTCCCACGGAGCAGAGAGCCCGATGCGGGACTCGATCCCAGGACCCTGGGATCATGACCTGAGCCGAAGGCAGACGCTTAACCATCTGAGCCACCCAGGCGCCCGGTCCTTAATCCATTTTGATTTTATTTTTGTGTATGGTGTAACAACATGGTTCAGTTTCATTCTTTTGCATGTAGCTGTCCAGTTTTCCCAGCACCGTTTGTTGAAGAGACTGTCTTTTCCCCATTGCATAATCTTGCCTCCTTTGTTGAAGATTAATTGGCCATATAATTGTGGGTTTATTTCTGGCCTTTCTATTCTGTTGCATTGATCTGTGTGTTTATTTTTGTGCCACTACCATACTGTTTTGATTACTATAGCTTTGTAATATAACTTGAAATCTGGAATTGTGATACCTCTAGCTTTGCTTTGCTTTTTGAAGATTGCTTTGGCTATTTGGAGCCTTTTGTGGTTCCATACAAATTTTAGGTTTGTTCTAGTTCTGTGAAAAATGCTCTTAGTTTTTTGTTTTGTTTTTTTTTTTGAGATTTTATTTAAATTCAAGTTAGCTAACATATAGTGTATTATTAGTTTCAGGGGTAGTATTTAATGATTCATCAGTTGCATATAACACCCAGTGCTCATTACATCAGTGTCCCTCTTAATGTCCATTACCCAATTACCCCCCCACCCCCCAACCCCTGGTAGCAAACCTCCGTTTGTTCCCTATAGTTAAGAGTGCTGTTGGTATTTTGATACAGATTGCATTTAATCTGTAGATTGCTTTGGGTAATGTAGACATTTTAACAATATTTGTTCTTCCAACCATGAGCATGGAATGTCTTTCCATTTGTGTCATCTTAATTTCTTTAATCAATGTTGTATAGTTTTGAGAGTACAGGTCTTTCACTTCTTTGGTTAAGTTTATTCCTAGGTATTTTATTGTTTTCGGTGCAATTGCAAATGGGATTGTTTTCTTAATTTCTCTTTCTGCTGTTTCATAATTAGTGTACGGAAATGCAATGGATTTCTGTATATTGATTTTGTATCCTGTAACCTTATTGAATTCATTTATCAGTTCTAGTAGTTTTTTGGGGAATCTTGGGTTTTCTATATATAGTATCATGTCAAATAGGGAAAGTTTTACTTCTTCCTTACCACTTTGGATGCCTTTAATTTCTTTTTTTTTTTTATTTTGCCTTTAATTTCTTTATGTTGTCTAATTGCCGTGGTGAGGACTTCCAGTACTATATTGAATAGAAGTGGTGAGAGTGGATGTCCTTGTCTTGTTTCTGACCTTAAAGGAAAGGCTCTCAGTTTTTCCCCATTGAGAATGATGTTAACTGTGGGTTTTTCATAATAAAGCCTTTATTATGTTGAGATATGTTTCCTCTAAACCTACTTTGTTAGGGGTTTTTATCATGAGTGGATGTTATACTTTGTGAAATGCTTTTTCTGCATCTATTGAAATGATCATATGGTTTTTATACTTTCTCTTATTGGTGTGATATATCAGACTTTAATCAACTTTTTAAAAAATATTGTAAATAAAGCAAATGTACCTTTGGTAATCAGTGTAACTACAAATGATCTTCCATTATTTAGGTAGATTTTAGATGTTTTTACTTAATTGTATCTTACTTCATCTGAAAATTTTATTTTGTACTGCAGAAAATATAACTTGATGCTAGGCTATTTAACATACTATATCACTCCTAAATTATCCTGAATTATAGTTTACTCTGTGCACCAAAATCATTTTTGTCTTTCTAGGACATTCAGTGAGATAAGTAAAGCAGAAGAACAATATAGCTTGTGCCAGGAACTTTGCAGTGAACTTGCTCAAGATCTGCAGAAAGAAGGACTAAAGGTACTTTATTTTGATGTGGTGTTCTTAGTTTAAAAAAAATTTTTTTTAAAGATTTTATTTATTCATTTGAGACAGAGAGATACAGAGAGAGAGAAAAAGAGCATGAGGGGGGAGAGGCAGAGGGAGAAGCAGACTCCCTGCTGAGCTGGGAGCCCGATGTGGGGCTCCATCCCAGGACCCAGAGATCATGACCTGAGGTGAAGGCAGACATTTAACCATCTGAACCACCCAGGCGCCCCTAGTTTAAAAAAATTTTAATAATAAAATGCTACCCTAAAGGAAGAGTTAGATTTTGTATTTGAGTACAAATTGAGAAACATTAGAAAGGATTATTCCCCATTCCCAATAGAGACAAATTCTGTTTTGACCTGTAATTCAGGCCTATGGTAAGATGATTAGATAAAGAAGCAACTTACAAGTGTGGGCTGGCTCCAGTATAATTCCAGAATTTATACTACTTCAGGAGTACATTTGAATAAGTTCAAAATCAGAGTTATATTGACATTTGAGAATAAGGCAAAGTTAAGGATTTCTCTAGAACTATATTTACTTATTATAAATATCTTTCCAACCATCCTTTAATGTTTTTCTCAGGTAGACAATGATTTTCTAGAATAAGCATTTTCTTTCAAGGCCCTTGTTCCAGGTTGTTTCACACATTGAGAACAAAACCCGGAAGGTTTTAAATTTCTATTTTATAATCTCCGCTCACAACAATCCATATTTAGTATTTTCCAAACTCTGAAACCAGAGGTGGAGTTATTATAGAGGATAATACAAAGGTATTCAAAGGTTATTACAAAAAAAACAAAAAACAGAAAACAACAAAGTTTATTACAAAAAATGGGATATCTATATATTTCTTTTTTTTTCTAGTGCCCTCCCCTATATATTTCTTATTATCCTTCTCTATGACACCTTGAGTATAAAGAGAGTTGATTTAAAATTTTTTAAATAAACCTGTGATTTTAGAATCATTTCATATATACAGAAAAGTAGTATAGGTAATATAGAGAGTTCTGATATACCCAGTTTTCCTCATTATTAACATCTTATATTATTTTAGCCATGTTGTCATAGTACATTTGTCAAGCTAATAGCACATTGCTATTAACTAAACTCCAGACATTATTTGGATTTTACCTGTTTTTCCATTAATGTCCTCTTTCTGTTTGAGGATTCAGTCCAGGGAACCACATTGCATTTCATTGTCTTGTCTCCTTATCTCCTCTAATCTGTAACAGTTTCTCAGTATTTCCTTGTTTTTCATGACTTTGATGTCTTAAGGAGTATTGGCCAGGTATCCTGCATGGTGTCTTTCCTTCTAGGTTTGGCTGATGTTTTTCTTATGATTAGACCAGGGTTATGGAGTTTTAGAAAGAATACCAGAGGTGAAATGTCCTCATTACATCCTTTCAAGGTATAGGATAGCCACAAGGTATCACGAGTGATAGTAACCTTTGTCACCTGATTAAGTTAGTGTTCGCCAGGCTTCTCCACTATGAAGTTACTATTTTCCCTTCCCGTACTCTCTTCTTTGGAAGTGAGTCAGTAAGTCAGCCCACTCTCAGAACTTCCAGGAGGTAGTAAAATATATGTAACATAGAATTTACCATTTCAGGGTGCCTGGGTGGCTCAGTTGGTTGGGCGACTGCCTTCGGCTCGGGTCATGGTCCTGGCTGGAGTCCCGGGATCGAGTCCCGCATCGGGCTCCCTGCTCGGCGGGGAGTCTGCTTCTCCCTCTGACCCTCCTCCCTCTCATGCTCTCTGTCTCTCATTCTCTCTCTTGCAAATAAATAAAATCTTTTAAAAAATTAAAAAAAAAAGAATTTACCATTTTAACTATTCTTAAGTTACATTTCTGTGGCATTAAGTTTATTCATATGGTGCAACCATCATCACTATTAATCTCCAGAACTTTTTCCTTATCCCAAACTGAAATTCTGTACCCATTAAACCATAACTGCAAAGGGAGTTCTTACATGTAAATGGGTTAGCATAGTATCTGGCATGTAGTAGACACACAGTAAGTGTGAGGTGTCTGCAAGACCCTTTCAATGGAGACCCCTTTAAGAAGCTTTTTTCCTCTCTTTAGGTACTGAATTCTAAAAGAGATTTAGTAAAAAAAAAAAAGTGATCAGTTAATGTTGCCTTTTATATAAAAAGTTCTTTTATAAAAATCCATTTGGGTAGGGGAGTAATAATTATGGGCTAAAATGGGATTTTTAGATTACTTATATATTTCAGTTATTCTTTTTGACAGATTTCATTACCATGTTTCATAAATAATTGATTATACTTCTGTATTATGTGTATGTAAGAGATGTTTTTGAATTTTTTCTAACCTACAAAATAACTTTTTTCTAGAAGTTAGAAAACTGTATATAACAATGTATTTTGTTGGTTATAGGGTAGAACTATTACCATTAAACTGAAGAATGTAAATTTTGAAGTGAAAACTCGTGCATCTACAGTTTCATCTGTTGTTTCTACTGCAGAAGAAATATTTGCTATTGCTAGAGAATTGCTAAGAACAGAAATTGATGCTGATTTTCCACATCCCTTGAGATTAAGACTTATGGGTATGCCCTTTCTTGTTTTTCCTTAAATCTGCTAGATTTTCCCAAAGAAATCAACTTGGGAAATATTCTCTCCTTCATTTTATTTCTTAAACCTGTTTAGGAGTTTGTACCTATGCTGACATTTTTCTTAATTCTTAAAACCTGATGTATGTGAAACCATACTCATTAATTTAATTCCTGTAAAAACCAATTACAGTTGTTCTTTTCCTTCCTACTGACTGAAATCCTTGGGGCTAGGTATGTTTCAAAATTTAAAACCTTTCAGATTTTAGGAAACAAATATAGTACATATTGAGTATATTATATAATACTCCTTTGGTATCTGAGGCAGCACCTCATGATAAACACATTAATATTTTTGTAGCAAAACAAGAAAATATTCACACTAGGTTGGAAAGACCCTAAATAGCCTCACATCAGTTCAGTCATCAATTACCATTTGTTGCTTACAATTTTCAGAACTATTTAGATTTCAGAATTACAGATAAGGGTTTGTGACAGTATAAAACCATATCTGCAGCCACGGCATGGTGAACAAACAAATTAACAAACCAAGTTTCTAAAGTGAATTGGGTGAGAGGATGTCCATGGATAAGCTCTCCAGATGCCAGCTTTACTGCCAAGAGTGGATCATTAGCCATACTTTCATATATGAAACATAGCACACACTTGAAATCGATTAACTAAAGTATGTTGATTGAGAGAGCTAAAGAGCGGATGTTTATAACAGCTTCATTCATAATTGCCAAAGTTCAGAAACAACCAAAATGTCCTTCAGTAGTAGGTAAATGGAAACTGGGATAGACCATGGAATATCATTCAGTGCGTAAAAGAAATGAGCTATCAAGCCATGAAAAGACATGGAGGAACCTTAAATATATTTTATTAAGTGAAAGAAGCCAATTTGAAAAGGTTAAATACTGTGTGATTTGAACTGTGTGACATTCTGGAAAAGACAAAACTGTGGAGACAGTGAAAAGATCAGTGGATGTCAAGGATAGGTAGCACAGAGGATTTTTAAAACAGTAAAAACTATTCTGTATGATGTTATAATGGTGGATACATATCATTAAATACGTCAAAATCCATAGGATGTTCAACACCAAGAATAAACCCTAATAAAAACTATGGACTTTGAGTGTTAATGTTGTGTCAACATAGGTTCATCAGTTGTAACAAACATACCACTCTGGTGCAAGATGTTGATTGGAGAAAGCTATATACTGGGCAGAGGATATGTAGGAACTCTATACTTTCTGCTCATTTTTGCTGTGAACCTAAAATTGCTCTAAAAAACAAAGGCTACTGGGAAAAAAGGGCTAGAGTTGGTATATAATGGTATCTTGTATCAGATATTAATTGAAAGACTTATATAATCATGCCAACTCCAACAGATACTATTTAGTGATACCCAGTTTTATAAAGGAAGGTAAATTTCATACAAAGTACCCATTTTGAAAAAGTATACTTTAATTCAGAAAATATGTAGTATTGCTTATTTTTCTCTAAACATCCTTTTGTATATATGTCACAATAATTTTATGCAAAATATTGTTATGCATTATGAGTGAATTGGCTTTGTTAAGAAATTAATTGTGGTTGGTTTAATTTAGGTGTACGGTTATCCAGTTTTCCCAATGAAGAAGACAAGAAACACCAACAAAGGAGCATTATTGGCTTCTTACAGGCTGGAAACCAAACTCTGTCAGGCACTGGGTATATACTAGAGAAAACGGACAAAGATCAGTTTCTAAAACCTCTAGAAATGTCTCATAAGAAGAGTTTCTTTGATAAAAAGCGATCAGAAAGGAAATGGAGCCACCAAGACACATTTAAATGTGAAGCTATGGATAAACAAAGTTTACAGACATCACATTCATTTCAAGTTTTAAAGAAGAAGATGAATGAGAATTTAGAAACGTTGGAGAATTCAAATAACTCTCAGATATTTACCTGTCCAATTTGCTTTAGGGAACAAAGAAGCATCAGTCTGGAAGCCTTTAATAAACATGTAGATGCATGTCTTGATGGACCTTCGATCAGTGAAGATTCCAATGTGTTCTCATGTTCACGTGCTTCCTCTACAGAAGTTAATAAGAAAGAAAATGTACATCCTTCTTTCTCACTCCATGAGAAGCAGGATTATGAAACCCATCAGAAGAATTCAGAAATCAATTCAGTAGATTGTATAGAGCTAGTAGAGACTGAAGATAACCCACGTAAAGCAGCAAGTGTAGACGGTTTAAGTGATAAGCACAACAAAGAGGAATATGCTAGTCTTCCAAGCAAATCATTTAATATTGAGGAACGTTGTCACAATTCTTCCTCTACTGTTTCATTGGAAGATACTGGGTCATTAAGTTGGCAAGAATCCTCCCAGCCTCATTTACATGAAGTGATAACAGACCAAGCTCTAGTTTGTCCTGTTTGTAACCTAAAACAAAAGACTTCAGATCTTACCTTGTTCAATGTGCATGTGGATGTATGCTTAAATAAAGGCATTATCCAGGAACTGAGAAAGGATAAAGCTAATCTAGCTAACCAACCCAGGGAAAGCACCAAAAGTGCTGGTGAGTTTGCAGTCATTTTAAAGAACTCGATTTTTTTTTTTTTTAAAGAACTCGATTTTTTAGGAATGTTTTATTAAAATTAAGATTGTTGTTAAATCTAAAGCACATACTATTAAAGGGATAGGTTGTGTATGCTGCCATTTAGGGAAATGTTAGTTACCTTAGCACAGGTTAGAATTAACTGAAGCCATTAGATTTTAAATTTTGGCAAAACTGTTCTGGGCTTGATTTAGCACAGAACGAACTCGAAAGTTTGGGAGCCGAGTAATCTAATCAAAGGCAAAATTCCCTTGGAATGACTAAGACAGGGATAAAAGGTACAGCTTAGGGAATATAGTCAATGGTATTGTAATAGTGCTGTATGGTGACAGATGGGAGCTCCATTTGTGGTGAGCACAGCATAGAGTATAAACTTGTTCTATTACTATGTTGTGTATAAACTTGTTCTATTACTATGTTGTGCACCTGAAACTAATATAACATTGTGTGTCAACTATACTTCAATTTAAAAAAAGAGAAAGAAAGAAATTCCTTCAGAGAACTTTTGCTAAGGCACAGTGGTAAATTAACATACTCACACAGCCAGAAAGCCTCTTTAAGTTGTTTTTGGTAGTCTAAGTGCAATACCATAAAATAAGTAAATTACAAAGAAATTATGCAATAAAGTTAGTTTTTGATGTGTCTAAATATGAACTATGTAGTACTAAAGAAGTTTTTATTATCTAATCAGTCAGCTTTAACTTTTTAGATTTTTATACAGCTTTTTAATTATTTCATGTTGTTCATTATGGCATTTCTTGACTTTTCTTCCACTAAAGATAACTCAGGCAGAGTTCAGAAGACTGCAACAAAACCAAAAAGGTATGGCTAATTTGAGTTTTAACAGAGCTGGCTATAAAATTGTTATATTTTGAGGTTTAATTTTTAGGTGATGTTAAAATTTGCTCTTACAAATCAAGTAAAATTTAAAAAAATCGATGATTCATAAAACATTTTTCAAATATCTTCCTGCATTTTAACTGTGTGTTCTTTTCTATTCCAGGCCAGGATTGATGACAAAGTACTCAGCATCAAAGAAAACAAAACCAAACAATCCCAGACACACTCTTGATGTATTTTTTAAATGAATATTGAACATTTTATCATTGAACATTTTATTCTTTTTTTTTTTTTTTTTTAAAGATTTTATCCATTTATTTGACAGAGAGAGACACAGCAAGAGAGGGAACACAAGCAGGGGGAGTGGGAGAGGGAGAAGCAGGCCTCCCACGGAGCAGGGAGCCCGATGCGGGGCTCGATCCCAGGGCCCTGGGATCATGACCTGAGCCGAAGGCAGACGCCCAACGACTGAGCCACCAGGTGCCCCGAACATTTTATTCTTAATAGAAACTTTTTATTTTATAATCAATGAATCTTTTCTTCTTCATTAAGTTTATAGATTCATGTAGTGAAAGGCAAGTGCAATAATTCTTCCCCAAATGACATTTCTTTTATATGAATTTGGAATATGTTCTAATTAACTTTTGTAAACACCTTTTGGATAACCATGAGAATTTCACTTCTATTATACATCAATCCGAAAATCAGTCCTGTTAGAGATAATTTTAAAATGAGAAATTAGGAATGGAATCGAAAGTGATTTGTTTCCTTATCATGTTTTATAGTGAATATAAAAGCATATTTATAAGGGCTCTCAGAGGTTCACACAAACCTAGGTTAGCATAAGAATTTTTCAGTACTGGGGCACCTGCGTGGCCTAGTCGATTAAGGTTAAGCATCTGACTCATGATTTCCACTCAGGTTATAATCTCAGGTCCTGAGATCAAGCCCTGAGTGGGGCTCCGCACTCAGTGGGGAAACTGCTTGAGAATTCTCTCATTCTCCCTTTGCCCCTCCTCCTGCTCATGCTCTCTCTTTCTAAAATAAGTAAAACAAATCTTAAAAAAAATTTTTTTTTTCAGCACTTAACCACTTTGTTGGTACTGGACTGCTATATTTATTATAGTAACTTCTACAACTTTGTATATTCATATTTTAGATCCTACTGTCTTCAGATACCTCATGAGCGTTCATAATTAAAATTTATTGGGGAGGGTGGTAGGGAGGTTTCGGGTGTTTACATGGTGGATGCTGCAAAGCTGGGGCAGATGGAGGAGGTCCCTGAAAACCAAAGAGTTCAGCCGGCGACAGATTGGGGAGGAGCCCTCATGGAGTGCACCTCGACCCCCAGCAGCCTGGCCCTGGTGAGCCCCTACCACACGCACTGGGCCAGGGACCCCTTAGACCTTGTGGCACTTGCAGAGCAGGTGCAGAAGGTTGATGAATTAATCTGAGCAAATGCCACCAACAAACTGATGGTCATAGCTGAGCAAATCCAACATTTACTAGAATAAGCCAGGAAGGTTTTGGAAGATGCTCACAAAGATGCTGACTTGCACCACATAGCTTGTAATATAGTAAAAACAAAAAAACAAAAAACCTGGCAACATTTACTACCTTTATAAATGGGAGAGTGGTCAGCAGTATTTTTCTATTTCTCCAAAAGAATGGGGGACAGGTTGTCCACATGAATTCCTTGGTGCTTACAAGCTACAGCATGACTTGTCCTGGACTCTGTATGAGGATATTGAGAAGCACGATGCTAAAATCAACGTAGTGGACAAGTTGCTAAGCCAGCCAACGGCCCTGCCTCCAAACACTGAACCCACCTTCCAGGGACTGACTCACCGAGAGTGGACTCCGATAAATGGTTCTCACGGCAAGGACCTGTCACCTCCTTGTTGCCCTCATTCTCTGCCTTGATGGGAGGTGTCATGAGAATTGAGGTGAATTGTGGGTGAATCATGAACTTCTTGAAAAGAGACCCTGTGTGGGGCACCTGGATGGCTCAGTCAGTTAAGCAGTTAAGTGACTGCCTTTGGCTCAGGTTATGATTCTGGGGTCCTGTGATCAAGCCCTAAGTGGTAGTCAGGCTCCCTGCTCAGCCAGGAGTCTGCTTCTCCCTCTGCCCCTCCTCCCACTCATGCGCTCTTGAGAACTCTCTCTCTCTCACCTCTCCTCTCTCTCAAATAAAATCTTTAAAAAAATTATAAGTTCTATGAACAATATTAGCTTGTCAGAACAGGGATGAAAGTTTTGTTACCTTCAGGAAAATAGTATCACAGTATTATTTTCTGTGTTAAAAGAATTGTTTAAAATAGGATTATCCATTTGATTTTTTTTTTCTTTCTTAGAATTCCTTTATCTTATGAATAAGCATATGGTTCACTTTACAAAATATTTAGTCTAAGATTCAAGGTATTTTAAATTTCTTTGTAGGACTTTAAAATGGTGGTATTTCATTTCTTGAGAGTTATGTTTATACTTTACACAGATCTATAAAAAAGGATAAATTGTACTCTCACTTTATTTTTATTATACCCCTTCAGAGAAAAGTGTGCAATACAAAAGATTAGTGTGTATTAAGACATCTCATTTATCTTAGCTATATTTCTATCACATTTTTATTAATATTCGTGAAAGAAGACAGCTTAACACTAATTAGCTTAAGTAATTAATCCAAATACTTTTGTGCTATTAATACAATTTTTTTTCAAAAAGCAATTATTTAATGGAACATGAAGATGGGACCACTTTCTATTATTTTTTAAGGAACTGAAATTTTTGTCTCATATTTTTGTTTTCTCTTTTCCTACTTTTCATATTTTATAACTCATTATCTAAATTTATGAAGACATAATATTTTAGAATAGGTTAAAATAGGATCTTACACAGCCTTTGGCCAAAGTGGTAACTTGACTTGAAATAATTAGATTGTTTGAAGTTAGATTTAGGGGCGCCTGGGTGGCTCAGTTGGTTAAGCGACTGCCTTCAGCTCAGGTCATGATCCTGGAGTCCCGGGATCGAGTCCCGTATCGGGCTCCCTGCTCGGCAGGGAGTGTGCTTCTCCCTCTGACCCTCCTCCCTCTCATGCTCTCTGTCTCTCATTCTCTCTCTCTCAAATAAATAAATCAAATCTTAAAAAAAAAAAAAAAGAAATAGGTTAAAATAGGATCTTACACAGCCTTTGGCCAAAGTGGTAACTTGACTTGAAATAATTAGATTGTTTGAAGTTAGATTTAGGGGCGCCTGGGTGGCTCAGTCGTTAAGCGTCTGCCTTCTGCTCAGGTCATGATCCCAGGGTCCTGGGATCGAGCCCTGCATCAGGGTCCCTGCTCTGCGGGAAGCCTGCTTCTCTCTCTCCCACTCCCCCTGCTTGTATTCCTTCTCTCGCTGTCTCTCTCTCTGTCAAATAAATAAATAAAATCTTTAAAAAAAATAAGTTAGATTTAATATTTATTAGCATGCCAGTTTTAGGTCTAATATTATCATATGCTATGGCAAATTCAGAATTGTAGAGCTGTGGGTCTTGATTGTGTGATTTACATATCTAAATTCTTTATAAAATTAAGTTCAGTGAAGTGCTGATTTAATGTATTGAAAAGTTAATAGCATCATATTTAATTGTTCCTATCTTGCCTCAGATTTATTTTTATTGTGTTTTCAACTTTAGAGTAAATATGAAATTATTTTCATTTAGATGATTCATTTAATTGAATGTTATTTAGTAATATTTAATGATTTAAAATAAAATTGCAAGTGTTTAATTGATCTTTTAGCCAATAAATATGGTTTCCTTACTTTTCTACTCTTCTACCACCTCTGATTCTCTTTTATTCTCTTTCCCCAGAATTCTATCCACATTCTTTTCTGTTTTATCTAATGTACCCAACTCATCTACTTTTTATTATGATTTTGCTTTGGGGTATTTTTAGGAAATAAAGCAAAACTGCAAAGGACAAGCACCTATGATCTTACCTACTTAGAGCATCAAAATACAGGGAACCACCTGGACAACATATTTGTGACACATGTAACTGGCCAAAAACTAGATCCAGAATATGTAATCCAGAAGATACAAATGACTCCTATGTATTAGTAAGAAAAAGACAAATAGCTAGTAGAAATTTGACCAAATGACTTTAAATGTCACTTTACATAAAAGGAAATCCAAATGACCAGGAAACATGAACACATTCTCAGCCATTTTAGTAATAGGGAAATGAAAAAACCACAAAGAGGTATCATTACATCCCTACCAGATTAACAAAAATGAAAAGATCCAATGTTATTAAATTTTGGTGATGACGTGGAGCAATGTGAACTCTTCTTTGAAGACAATCACTTTGGAAAACAGTTTGCTTTTCTTCGGTAAATTTAAAGATGTGTACGTTTAGCAACCCATCAATTGCACTCCTAAATAAACAGCTTTGCTGGTTATCTTCCATTTGCTCTCCAGATTTACTCTTGACCCTTGACACTGCTTTATGTCCAGTAAGGGGCTATGGCAATGGGGGAACCACTACAGATTTCAGGGAGAAAAGAAGATGAAGTTGGGTATTTATTCCCACATGTACCTTATTATATGATCATCTAGAGCTGGTTAGGTCCCTTGACCAAAGGTCACAAGTTTTTTATACTGTGTTCTCTCCTCTATCTCTTCAGTTTTGTTTTGTTTTTTTTTTAAGCTTTATTTATTTAATCTCTGCACCCAATGTCGGGCTCCAACTCATGACTCTGAGATCAGGAGTCACACACTCTTCCAACTGAGCCAGCCAGGTGCCCCCTCTCTTCAGGTTCTGATGATCCTTTCCTTCCCTCACCCCTTCAGCCTAGGGGTGGCAACAGAGTCTTGCTCTTACTAGTTTTGGGGTGCTACAGCATCTTTTGTGTTTCCCCACACCTTTGTAAATGGTCCTTTTTAAAAATTCATCACAAAATATAATTTTTTTTTCCTTCCAGAGCCCTGATACAATGTCTTGGGAAAACTACTGAACATGTTCCTTAAGAAGTATGTACAACAATGCTCTTTTATCAGCACTGTTAATAGCAAAAAAAGGGAAAATAAAAATTAATTTAATTCTACCGTTGTATATTCATGTATATTCAAGCAAGAGAATTCTACACAGTGGTAAAAATGGAGGAAATAGTTAATCAGAAAGTAGTGGGAAACTCGACTGCATAATTTGTGGTAGTGGGGGATGCTTTCCCCTGAAAAAAAAAAAAAGAAAGAAAATAGAGGAATATCTACTGGGTAGCTCAGTGGGTTAAGCGTCTGGCTTCAGCTCAGGTCATGATCTCAGGGTCCTGGGATGGAGCCCCATGTCTTGCTCCCTGCTCAGCATCTTGCTCCCTGCTCAGTGGGGAGTCTGCTTGTCCTCCCTCTGCCCCTCCCCCCACTCATGCACTCTCGCGCGCGCTCTCTCTCTCTCAAATAAAATCTTAAAAAAAAAAGGAAAGTAGATGAATAGCACGAACAATCTGGAGTAAAGTAAGTCATAGATGGCAAGTCAGCATGCCATCAGCATGAATACATTTATATAAAGTTCAAAACAGTTAAAACTATTGTTTTAAGGATTTATCTGTATGAAATAAGATTATTAAGAAAAGCAAGTATGTTATTGTCCTGAAAGAATAATGATTTCCTCTGTGAGAGATAGGGAAATGTGATTGGGGAATGGTACGTAGAGCTGCTGGGATGCTGACAGTGTTCTGTTTCTCGGGTGGTTGACTGCATAAAGGTTTACCATAAAACTATTCTTTAAACTGTACATATATATTTTATATACTCTTGTACATATGTGACCAAAATCATAATAAAAAGCCAGTACACAAAATTCCTGAAAATTTAACAATCTGCTCTTGCAAGCCAATACAACTAGCGTCCACATATCATGATTGGCATTCAAGGCCAATCAAGTCACACTGCATAGCTTATAGTTTCCCGAATAGACCAAGCTATTTCTTCCTTCTGGTATGGTGCTTAGTTGCTCCCTCTGTCCAGAATGTGCTTCCTGGACATACACTCTCTTTTCCCACCATACACAACTATTCATCTTTCAACTCAGCCCGGGGGCCACCTTCAGGAGAGGGTCCCTGCCCTCTGGAAAAACTGATCAGTCACTCCTTTGTGCTCCTATTTCTCTATGAGGACAATGAAACATTGCGTTATAAAGGTTTTATTACTATGGCCTTTTGGGGTGGCTTGGAAGTATTTGGAAGAAGGCTCCAAAACATACTATTTAACCTAAGGCTAAAAAAATGCTTTTTCAGGAAATATTCCATTTTGAAAACTGTACTTGGTGCCTAGTGCTGATTTTCTTTTAAGTAATATTCCATTTTGAAAAGTAGTGCTAAATTTGAACATACCTGGTGCTGGTAAGATTTTAGTGAACTTCACAGAACAATGGTATTTATTTCCCGGAGCAAAAACTGTCCTTTTGTTACATAATTAGGGGATAATCACTTTTGCTTTGTAATACAAAGCAAAACAGTTGTATTAACAGTTGTTCAAGAAAAAAAAAATGTTATTATGGTGAGTATTAGAAACATAATTCTATTTTTTTTTTAATTTATTTATTAGAGAGAGAGAGAGTGAGAGAGAGAGCGTAAGAGGGGGTAGGGTTAGAGGGAGAAGCAGACTCCCCGCCCAGCAGGGAGCCCAATGTGGGACTCGATCCCGGGACTCCGGGATCATGACCTGAGCCGAAGGCAGTCGCTTAACCCACTGAGCCACCCAGGCGCCCCATAATTCTATTTATTAAGCAAACTGTAATATTGAACTGTTCTTACAAATGTGAGGTAATCTATGACAGTCTTTTCTTCTTTTCTGTTAATAACAGTCTTATTTCCTCATTATTGCTCAGAGAGAAGAAAATTCAGAGGCAAATAGTGTTAACCCTTTACTTCTAACCCCAGTTTCTTAAGTTTATTATGATTTCAAACTCAGAATACATTCATATACATAGAAATACATATATTATATGTGTGTGTATATACATAGATATACATACATTATATATGTGTGTATACACACACAACCTATGCCAAACCCTTGTCTATTATTGAATTCTGTCTACTCTTGTAGGACCTCTTGAAAATGCCCACTTCTGGGCACCTGGGTGGCTCAGATGGTTAAGCATCTGCCTTCGTCTCAGGTCATGATCCCAGGGCCCTGGGATCAAGTCCTGCATCGGGCTCCCTGCTCAGCGGGGAGCCTGCTTCTCCATCTGCCTCTCTCTCTGTCTGTCTCTTATGAATAAATAAAATCTTTAAAAGAAAAAAAAGAAAATGCCCACTTCTTTTCATTCCTTTTGTCAAGTCCTCATCAGTTGCCTAATCTCATCCAACACATTTCCCAGCTTTCATTAGTTTATTTCTCTTTAAACCATCTTGTGCATTTTTATAGATAATGCTCTCCTAATATTCTTAGGCATGTGTGTGTGTGTGTGTGTGTGTATAAAAGGGTGAGTCAGTTCTGGGGTCAAATCTAGTTCCATTTTATGAGGACTTAATTTTTTTTCCCACTCCTAGAACGTGCTAAACTTCTTATTTGACCTCTGAAACCATCCACAGGTGTGAGATGTGCCATGGTTTTACTTTGTTTTGTAATGCATCAAACCCCCTGTGCTTGGGTGCGGTGGATTCAGGGCAGAGATCCTGGTTGTCCTTCAGTATTCTACTTTTCTTTAATATTGTTAGAATTTTAGCTAGGCACATAGTTGCCTAGAATCCTGTATTTAATCAATTTTTTATTTCATAAACCACTAAGAAGAAAATAATACCTAAGATGGGTAGTCCAATAGGTTATGACTGGGTTAAAATGGGATACCAAGGGGGAGCCTGGGTGTCTCCGTCTGTTAAGCATCTGACTTTTGGTTTTGGTTGCGGTCATGATCTCAGGGTCCTGAGATCTATTCCCACTGTTTAAGAGTGTCTCCCTCTTCCTCACCCCTCCCGCACTCATGCTCTCTCTCTCTCTCTGAAACAAATCTTAAAAAAATAAAATGGGATACCAAAGTTTACACCTTCAGAGAAGAAATTGAGGGTCTTACTTTATTCAAAAGAAAATTCTGGAAGCCCATTTAGAAGTGATTTAATACTGAAGTTCTCACAGTGGTGGTTATAAATCCAGCCTGGACATCTCTCCAAGTTGTACGAAGAACTGAAGTGTGAGCCGGGCGTTCTCTCAGAGCGCTCTCCTTCAGGTGAAACCAAATCCGAGGACCGCGCAGGCCACACGCGCAGGTGGTCCCTCCCAGGCGGCCGAGCCGGGCGGGGCAGGAGCACCGGGGCAAGCTACCCGGACACGGCAGGGAAAAGACAGCGGCCCGGCCGTGCGTGCCGGCTCTCTGCGGGCGGCGAACGAGGGCGCACAGGGACCCCGCCCCGAGCATCCCGGCTCACCGGGGGGCCGCGAGGGAGCTGCTGCAAGGGGCGACCGCGGCCGTGGAGGGCCTTCGGGCAGACCTGAGGGGTGCGGCGGCCCGGCCCTGGATCCCGAAGCCGGAGAGGCCTCGAGAGGAGGCGGCGGAGGCGGCGGCGGCGGCGGCGCGACACGAGATCCATGCGTTCCAGGAGGCGGGTTGCAGACCGCGCGGTGGCGGCGCCGGTGGGCGGGGTGGGCCGGGCCGGGCGGTGGGGGCTCGTGTGGAAAGTGCCGCCGGACCGCCTCAGGACCCCGCGGGGCCGGGGCGCCCACCCTCCGCCACCGCGTCACCTGTGGGCTGGTTTGCCACTTGGCAGCCCCCCTCCCCAAGTTTTGACTCCGGCTGTTTTATTTCAGGTGAAACCTGTATACTGTGGTTGGAAGGAAAGAGCTATTCTTTGAATTTAAGGAAGAGGGTTTTTGAAGAAATGATTAAGCCCTACTGCAAATAAGGAAGAGAGTTTCATGTGGTGTTACCTCCTATATCCTGACTCACGCAGTGACTTACTGTGTGACTTTAAATCACTTAATCTTTCTGTGCTTAGGTTTCTAAAGCATGGCGTGAGTCTTCTGTGCCTCTTTGAGAATAAACTTACAGCGTAAACTGAGGCACATTGTTGAAGAGTCTTCAAAAGTTGAGAATGATTTCAAGGCTGTTAACAGAGCACTAGTCCCTTAATAATGTTCAATTAGTTCATCCATCCGTCGGTTCGTTCATCTAGAAATGTTCTCAAGAGTTGACGATTTGCTAGACATATTTTAGATGCGACTTACGCAGTGGGAGCATGACAGTCCACGTTCTGATTTGGGTAGAGGGTTGAAAGACGCTAAAATAAGTGAGCGAATAAGTGAGGAAGATCTTTCAAGGCAGTGGTAATTCCTGCGGAGGCCACATAGCCTAACCCCAGCTTAGGAAGTTTTTCTCCTGTGTTTTCTTCTAGAAGGTTTATAGGTTTATGTTTTACATTTACATCTATGATCTGTTTTGAATTAATTTTTATATTAGGTATGAGGTTTACATCAAGGTTCAAATTTTTTCACTTGGGCATCTATCTGTTTCAACCAAAATTTTGTTTTCCATTTGTTGATGCCAGTAAGTAGAAATATGACTGATTTTTATGTGTTGACTTCGTATCCCACAACTTTGCTAACCTCATTTATTAGTTCTAGAGCTGCTTTGTACATTCCTTTGGATTTTATATGGAGATAATCAAATTGCTTGCAACTAGACAGAGACAGTTCGACTTCTTGCCAATCTGTATGCCGTTTAATTTACTTTTACTGCTGGACTGAACTGGCTAACACATCCACACAGTGTTTTAAAGAGCGAGAGTGGACATTTCTGTTTCTTCCTGAGCAAAAAAAGCATTGGAACTTTCATGATTAAGTATGATGTTGGCTGTCAGTTTTTTGTACATGTTCTTTATCAGGTTGAGGAAGTTCCCTTCTATTCCCATGTTGCTGAGAGCGTTTTTGTTTTTGTTTTTAGTCATAGATGGATGTTGAATTTTTTTAAATGCTATAGTGTTATCATATAGTTTTTCTTCTTTAGACTACTTGTATGATAGATTACATTGCTTGGTTTTCAAATAATGAACTAGTCTTGTGTTCTCAGGATAAACCTCACTTGGTGTGTTACACTTTTTTTTTTTTTTTT